AGCCTGCAGCAGTTTGGTACAGTCGGTAAGAAACTGCGCGGACAAGGGGAGGTAAATAGAAAAAGTTAGCCGATAAAGAAGGAACTCAATAAGAAAGGAGACATCTATACAGAGCTGTGGTTTCTCTTAATGAATGTTGCATGAGTAGCTTCTAGGATAAAAACATAAAAACGAACGGATGGAAAAAGTAGAACGACTAAGATCCCCCCCAACCCGTGAGTCCATCACCGCTCCAGATATGAAGGCGATGAGAGGGTGGTGGTTTGATGCTTGGTGTGATTGGGGGTTTGATCTCACGGCTTTGGCAGTCCGGGTTTAGCAGCGAGATCTCCAACCCTGAATTCCTCTTGGAAGCAAAGTGGTGTGTAAATGATGAGATAAGTTCCTGACTGGCAGGATGACACCTTAACTAGCGGCTCCGACTATCGGAGTGAGAAGATATGAGGGAAAGGTCAACAGTGATACTGGGTTTAAAGCACTCCACCAAATAGGCCAAATAGGTGCAGATCATTCAGGATTTACCCAAGAGAAACACTTCGAACTCTGCTGGATCACCATATATTGTTTACAATTTCTCTGGAACTATACCGTGTATTTCTACGGGATGAAAAGTGTTCAAAAGCTTACCCTTTTGGCGATCTATCGAGGGTTTCCAGACATTTCTACATCTGCCACAAGGTTTACAATCCAGCCACAAAAATAGGTGTTCGATCAGAGACGTTTGCTGGTAAAATATGATTATTTATCAGATTGTTGTGATTAAAAAAGATCGCTATCACTAAATGCCGCGAATGTCTTCCGGGGTTTGACAAGCTACATGGTCTCATATTCTTCTTCTATTGTTCCTTTGACGGTAGTGTCCAATAAGAGGCAACCAAAGATCAACAAGAGACAAGAAAGTTCCCTCCTTGTCTGCAAAATCAGAAATAATGGTCCTCAATGTTTGGAAACAAGCGAAGAAGAGATTCTGAGCAGTATGATGTGGTCCTCTGTCTCATCCCAGGAGTGGCAGAAACAACTGGAAATAGTAAAAAACGCCTGGAAGAATGAGTGTAAATATGTCAATAGTTTCTGTTGTGTGTTTGTTCCAATCCCGATATTTCTTCTCCTGATAGCCGAGACTTGAGAGAATGATGTGCAGGTGAGAAAAGGCTTGGTCACTGTAGATTTATGTGTTTTTTTTTTGGATCAATTTCCGTTTTTGTTTTTTGGTTGACTATGATGGATCTGAATCTACTGTTACTTTCATTTTACAGAATTTTTGCACCCCTAATCTGACAGCTGAGGTTGTCCTGATAGAAACAAAACAGGCAGATCAAAAATAGTGAAATATATCTGGGAGTTCTGAGGGTTAATTTGGAAAGACTAAAAAAATCACAATAAGAATAATAGAGTAAAATAAAGTTTAGGGGGCGGTGCGTTTATAAAATCATCATTTTCACCAAAGAAAATCTCTTTTCTAATCAAAAGAAGTTACTGACTTATTCTTTCATTTCCAGATTCATATTCGCTTCATTCATCAGACCATACAGGGACAGAAATGAATCAGGCTGAACGAAATTGCCAACTGGTCTCAAGACGAAGGTCAGGAATTTGATAAAAAGCCTTCGACTAAAGGGTTGAATTTTTGGTGAAGTTGTAAAAAGGAGCAGGTAGAGTTTGAAATATTCAGCAGGTTAATATGAACCTCCAACTTCACCCTTCTGAGACTCTCTAAAGAGCCTCTGTGTGGCCTCAACAGGAACCAGCTTTGAGTTTCCACTGCTCAGTTTATGCAGCCGTGTCGCCGCCGCACAGAGAGAGCCGTATCAATAACCTATCAGCAGCTGCGGTTGTTATGCTAGCACAGCAAACAGTGGGTAGACATCCGCTCTTGAGCGTTCCTTCGGGAAGGCCGGGGAAATCAGAGAGCTAATCAGCGGCGGCTATAGGACTGTGGAGGTGAAAGCCGGCGCAACAAGCTGGTGACGCTGATGGAAGCTGACACGGAGAATTGGAGGAGGATCGGGAGACACCCTTACTTAAGGAAGCTGTTTCCTCGGCCTGGAAAACTTTGATTTAACGTAATGGAGTCCTAATCTGCCGGGTAAGAAGGAAAAAACAAACAATCAGAGGGGGGAACTGTTTGCATGGAAGGCCTGTGAAATTCAGAGGGTGGATTAGATTTTTTGTTTTGTTTTGGTGGCTGAAGCACCGAGGAAACAACAAAGGGGTCATTCATAACTAAGACAGAAGAACGGACACTCATCATGGATAAAAAGTTGAGATGTGTTTTCTTCTTTTCCGTTTTTGACATGATTGATTGTTGAATTTTTGGTGTGATGTTGGATTCAGTTCAGGCTGTGCTTTGTCTCAGAATTTGGTTTGGCGTCCTCTTGCTCGACTGTACATGAAAGTATTGTTGGGTGGCAGAACCTGTGCCCCAAAACATGAATATATTCCTGTACCATCACAGATGCTTCTTTGTGGTCTACAGAGTAGAAGACATGAGATCCAAGATTTCCAATAATCTCATCTTTATCTGAGTTTTTAAGGAGCTTCAGTTTGGGTGGTTTTCCTCTATCCTCCATATGAGTGATTTTGAGCCCATGCGGTGACGTCCACTACAGAGTCATGTCTGTTTTCAATGCGGTTCTGCCTGAGCGTTTAGACCTCAGCCACCCAAAACTGGTTTTCAGCCTTGAACCATTCTGTAGGTACTATTGTTGTTGGTTCTAATCCCTGTTCAAGTCTTTGCAGACGACTCCCTAACATCAGTCTGGTTCTGCTCGAGGTTTCTACCGATTAAAAGAAGTTCTTCCTCCTCACTGTAGCTTACTCAATGCTGCACAGTGCCACATTCATGCGAATGAAGATGGGATAAGAGTGGGTCTGATCTAAACAGGAAGGATTCATGAAGAGTTTGGTCCTGACTAGCTTGTTTTAGCTAGGCGTCATCAGTTAACACTTGACGTGGATTAGCGCCACGTAAAACAATGATTGATATGAAGACTGTTGGAATTATGAAATATGGAGATAAGAGGTTTTGCCCACCAGACAAGTGACATAATGTTCGTGTCAGTGATAAAAAACATTATTTTAAGATGGTTGAAGAATTCGCTCACGCAGTCTCTCACATGTTAGGTTAACTTCTTTCAATTGTTATAATTTGTTTGTTTTTCAGCGTTTTAATTATCTATTTATTTTTAAAAAAATGTGTTTATTTTATTACCATTATTGTTATTATTATTATTATTATTATTATTATTATTATTATTATTATTCATCTATTTATTTTTAATACATGTATTCTTTATCTCTGTCCCATTTTAAAACATGTTACTGGCTTTAAACACAAACTAGGCTTTTTTTCTTCTTCTAAAAATAAACAAATAAGGAAATTATAATAAAATAAAGCTTCTCTTTGAATATTTAATTAAGTTTAATTTGTTGTTTTTGCACATTTTCATTCCAATATGTGGAGTAATTCGTTTGAAAATCAGTAAAAAATAAGGACATCTAGATTTTAAATAAAAGGGTTTTCCTTCAGTTTAGTAAATTCACTCCTCTGACTGCGTTTGCTGCTCTGGAAACATATTTCTACGTTTCCTCTGATGTTTGCGCAGTTTGTGTGTTTTGTGTAACTACAGTGTTATTACCGTCCCCCCTGGGTGCAGATAGCAGGTAAATTAATACTAATTCTATGCAGACATGAACAAATTAGCCTGCTTTTCCTTTTATTTTCACAGCAGCTTGTTAGCGAGACGCACACATTTACAAATACACACTCACACACACACTCCCATCCATCCCGTACACACACGGGTATAAGCAAACATGACACACCTCTCCACCCCCGCTCCTTACATACATACAAACATATGCACACAAATCTGAACACACACTCTTACTTCTTAATCTCCCAGCGCCCAGAAACACAATGAGGGAGTGAGTTATGAGCGGCGGGGACTTGGCTCGGTATCAGAGGGAGGCTACCTCGCCGCTTGTTCCGATGTTAATTAGTTTGGCCTGTTTGCATTTTTATTTATCTGCTGCAGTGACTCGAGGCTGATTATCTATTCACACTGATACCCAGAGATAAAACTTAAAGCTCGGTCCAAGTCCAAGTTCAGGGCTCCCCGCGCGTTTCAAAGTCACTCCAACCAGCCGTTTATCTGCTCAAGGTGCAGGTTGAGGGACAGAGATCTGGATCTAATAACTCCCTCTCTGTCTCCCCTCTCAGCATCAAGCGGCTCCCTGATATATCACCGCTCAGCTCCCCTTCAGTTGAATTAAAATGCTATATCACTCTCGATATATGGAGACGTATTGATATGCATCCAACACGGGGCGTGTAATGAGAAGAGATGACAGAGTGCCTGGACTGCGTGTGCACCTGCCACACACTGCCCGGCCAAGTCAGCGGGGACGAGGGGATGAAGATGAAGATGAACAGAGAGAGAGAGGGAGAGAAAACCTCCCCCCTTTCTAACAGACATGGCTGTGTGGCTGATTTACAAGTTATGGCCTTTTTCTCCTTCATTCCTCTGTCATTGAAAAAGAGATTAGATGGGGCCGATTGCTTTAGACATCAAACATCACAGAGTCGATCCGTCATAGATGCCTCTTATGCAAAAAGGCTTCTGGATGTATTCAGAGAAAGAGAGAAAGAGAGAAAGAGAGAGAGAAAAAAGAAAAAAACACTCTCTCTGTGCCTTTTCCAAGCGTCCACCCTCCTCTTCTCCTCCAGCCCCCGTTTCTCCTCTGCACAGTCAACTGATGCTCACTGGGATGTAAGGGCACTGCTTCCTCCCTCCCTCCTTCTCCTCCTCCTCCCTTCTTTTGCTTTTCTTCCTGTTCCCCCCCCCCCCCCCCCCCCCTCACCCTCCCTCTCGCTCTACCCTTTTCTTTCTTTCTGTCTTTTTTTCTTTATCGCCAACTTGTGAATGGCAGCCAATCAGGGGCAGAGTCGCCTCAGCTTCAGCCTCGGTGACATCCACCGCCAGAAGTGATGCACTGCTAGAGAGAAAGAGAGAGGAGGAGGAGGAGGAGGAGGAGGAGGAGGAAGAGGAGGAGGAGGGGGAGAGAGAGAGATGAGAGAAAGAAAGTGTAGAGGAAGAAAAAGGGAGAGAAGCCAGAGAGAGGGGAGGAGAAATGGAGCGAGGGAGGGCAGAGAGAAAGAGAGGAGCATAGAGCGAGGGAGGGAGGGAAGCAGCCAGGAGTCTCTCTCTCTCTCTCCTTCCTCTCTCTCTCTCTCTCTCATGCACACACACGCACACACACTCCCATACACATTCGCACCAGCTGTGCTGTTGTCAGTCTTGGAATGTAAGCACTGCCGTGAGGAGTCAGATTCTCCGCCGCTAAGCACTGCTAAGGAGTAGGAACAGAGCCGCCTCTGCTGCCGCCGCCGCCGCCGCGCACTCCCTCACTGACACAGATGGATGCTAAGCTGTGAAAACCAAAGGTAAGGGCTTTTTCTGATTAACGTTTGAGGACGTATTTGTATTTCTTTTTTTTTTTTTTCCTCTTCAGACTCCAGGGGGATGATTTTTGCTCCTCTCTCTGTGACAGAGGCAGACGGATGCAGCAGCGTGGAGATGATCTTAGAGGGGGAAAAAAAAAGTGTTGCAACTTCAAAGAGATTGATAAATCCACTCAAGTGGGGAGTAATTAGATTTGATAACCAATACTGACATTTGAAGTTGTCCTCCTCTTTTATTTATCGATTTATTTGTTGTAGAAGAAGAAGCTGGAAAAGATGATTCAGAATATTTATGAGACTTTTAGATTTTTCATCTTTAATAATCTGAAATTGAACGTCAAATCCCGCGTCCTCTAACCTCCTCATCTTCATCATGTGCCACCTGACACTCTGCACAGATGTAACTTTAATAAGCATCAGAGTGAAGGCGTCACACTGTGCTTTTATAAAAGCCTCACATTAACTTTCTCCCTCCTTTCAAACTCCTCTGATCCCCGGAGTCGACATTTTTCACATACAGCTGAAACGCATGTGTGTCTATTTCTGAATAAATTGCCTCCAGAGTCGGAGCACCTGTGTCAGAGCGTCTACATGTGTGTGCAGAGGCAGTGTACCATTCATATCTACAAAAAGAAGAAGAAGAAGAAAAAGCATGGAGGTGTTTATCGCCGTGTTCAAGCAGCGCGGCGAGTGATGCCGAGTCTGTACATGTGCATATCCTCCACAGCACAAACTTAATCCACCCTCACTCTTTCTCTTCTTCTTCCTCCTCTCTTCTCCTCTCTCTCTCTCTCTTTCTTCCTCTGTAACCGCCTCAGTCCTCCTCAGTGTACCGCCTGCCTGCCTTCCTGCCTGCTTCCCTCACACTCTGACAGCTTTACAACCACTGGAGTGATATTGTAGGCTATGCTAGTGTGCTCCAGGTCACCCATGTAAAGCCATTATTGTTTAGCGCAAATTAGCCACTAACAGGCGCCCTGAATTATAGTCAGATATGGAGTGACCTTTCGGCGTTTGGAATGAGAAGCAGGAGGGAAAGGCTTCTCCCACACAGGCTCAGAGGCTCTCACGAGCTTTCACACAGCTGCTTTTAGAGGATTAAGCAAGAATATTTATTTGCTGGAGCATGTCAGGGAGGGAAAACAAGACAGGGAGGAGAAATCTGCACAAAATGGAATAATACAGAAGCAGATTTGAGGTGTCGGTGTTTTCTTTTGTGAGTGTTCTTGTGGTTTTAAGTTCTCGAGCAAACTACTCAGCTTTTTATCAACTTCTCTGAAATGATAAAACACAAGATGTGGATTTATTTCGATTAACAGAGTGGACTTTGTGTCAATACGCCCTTTTCGAGAAAATAGCGTGCCCCCTCCTCCTTGTTTCAAGTAGATTTTCAACAAGGAAGTGTGCACTGTATCAGAAAAAATTGCTTAGAGGATTTCAAAACATGAGTAAAGCTTGCTGAGGTTTGCCAAAGACTGCAGCCGCTCCAAGACAGACGGCGTATATGAGGAAGGACTAGGGCTCCACCAAGTGGAGGTTTGTGCACAGGTGCTGCTGCTGCTGCTGCATCTTGGTGCATCAACGCCCCTCATGCTTAGATTTACACCCTCTCCGTCTCTGCCGCTCTGTCAGTGCCGGCGAGCAATCAGCCGAGCTCCTCAAACTGCCAATCACAGCACACTGGTTTTCACTCAGCTCTCACGGGTAGTTAGTGTTTGTGGCTGTAAAAGGACGGCGTTTACCGACTCTTAAATCACCTCCTATGACAAACGGCGCAGGTAGAGCTGATCACAGAGACTAATCACGACAGCGCTCTGTGACCTTGCACCCTCTGCCGTCCTCTCTCTCCATCTTTACTCCTTCTTTTTCCTAAATGAATCCGGGTTTTATTTGTGCTTCTCTAAACACAGACACTTGTTGAACTCCTCAGCAGCAAAGCTAGGAGCTCTGATTTAAATGCTGCTCAGACGCCAGCAGTTGAAAATTTGCACTGTATTTATGCAGTAAGTGGGAGGGTTTGGATGCTCGGTGGCTAATTATACCATCTATATGGATGGAGTTGTGCGTTTGTGTTGGAGCGAGGATGTGTGTGTGATCGTCTTGGTTCAAGAGGTCCGCGCATTTATGATCAGGATGGATTTAGATCTGAAATACCAAGTTGATCCCAGGGGACCCAAGGTCATGTTGTTGCATCCGAGGCTGCGCAGTAAAGTGCAAATTTATCGATGTTACGATCTAAACACACAGAAATAAAAAAAAGTCTGAATTTAATGCAGTAGATGAGTAAATTATTTAATGTTTGCAATCAGCTTTTTCCCACTCAGCATGCTCGTTACACTGACGATGGAGGCCTGAGTCTTATAGTCGTGGTGCTTTTTTAACGTTTTGATGCACTCAAGTGAGGCTATAAGCAGCTGTCATCAAAACCTCCGATTAATTGGAGATAATTTAGTGATGTAATGTTTAAAACATCAACAACAGCAGAAATGAGGAGTTACTTTAGCTTGGGATATCATGTCAGATTTGTAAGTAAAGACCTAAATCAAGTAAGTTTGAGTGAAAATGAGCGAGAAGTTTGACTCTGTTACAGAAATATAGATTCAAAGTCAAGAAGTCACCATAAAAATCATAATATTTCACATCTCTTGTCATTTTGTCAATAAATATTTCAGCAAGAAAACCTCATGCAAGGTCTGTTATATTTCTTTCATATTAGGTTCCTTTAGCTGCATGTCGTCCTGCAAAGATATGTGAACAAAAATGAAACTATCCTGAGTTGAAGAATGAGATTTGTCCTCCAAAATAACCTAAAACTCAATAATTATAATGAGAAGTAAGAACATGCAAAAGTATGCATGCAGCACTGACTGAGTCATCACTACAGGCTACACACAGTCTGAGCATGTGCACTGAATAATAATCAATTATGACTTTTATCAAAAGAAAGTATTTCCCTCAATCATTCACCGCTTCATATTCTAAGGTCACCCTCCTGGTGTCACGTCCAGGTTTATAAAGTGGACCAGCGCTGATTTGAGTCGATTAGACGGATTTAGGATTTTAGTGTAAATCAGGAGATGTGATAGGTTACTAAGTCTGGACTCAGGGGACACAAAGGAAAAGGAAATCTTAGGCATCAATTTGAAACTCTGGAGTCCTTTTAAGAGCTGATTCGTAAAAACATTTTTATAATTGTCCTATCCTCATTTTTAAAGCAGTGGAGTGAAGCAACATTTACTACCTTCAAATAAAACAAAGTCTTTATTCTGAACCAACCATCATCTTTTTTTTGATCGAGTGAGTTCCCACATGAAATAAAACAAATTTAGTGAGAGTGAAACTTTCATTAAAGCAAATATTCTCTAAAAGGTAGAAACAGAAACTATCAATTTATAAACCTTCAGCTCAAATATCTGTGAAACCATACTGTGTGGTTTTTTATTGATATATTGGTACTAAATTAGTTTAAAATGATATTTAAATATCAGATTTAACGTATTTCAGTCTATACTTTGATTTTGTTAACATGAGCCAAACTCTGTTTTTGCATTTACCATCTTTGCAGAGCGCTGCATGTCCTCTCACAGGAGAACTTCCAGCTCTGAACCACACCGAGGCCTGGGCGATTTGGCCAAAAAGATGATCACGATATACTTTGTCTTATTGTCTGATCTCGATTAATATCCCGATATTTTTTAAAACTGCCAGTTTTAAAGCATCTGTACTTAAAACTAAAAAATAAATAGATAAATACTAAATAAGACGTTAAATAACTTTTCTTCTCAACAATAACATCTTCAGAGGATGACTCAAAGTCATGGCTGACATCTATTTCACTGCCCTCAGCTCCACGTTCGGTTTCTCTGTTTACTCGTCCAGCAACTTTCAGAAGTGAGCAGGAAAAGCTCGACTCTGATTGGCTGTTGTGAGGCAAATTTTCGCCAAGTTTGATCGAGTAAATAAGCTAACAGCTGATCACCGTGATCGAACTGAAATTTATCACGATTATAAAATCACCCAGTCCTAACCACACCTCATCTTTTTTAATCGAGTGAAACCCCACATGAAATAAAACAAATTTAGTGAGTGAAACTTTCATTAAAGCAAATATTCTCTTAAAGGTAGAAGGTAATCGAGCTCGAAACAGAAACTATCAATTAATAAAGCCTCAGCTCAAACATCTATGAAAATATACAGCTTGGTCTTTGAAATATTGAAACTAAATTAGTTTTAGATTTAACGTATTTCAGTCTGAGGTTTAATTTTGTTAACATGAGCCAAACTCTGTCTTTGAATTTACCATCTTTGCAGAGCGCTGTATGTCCTCTCACAGGTAAACTTTGATTTCTTTCAATGTTTTGGGTGAACAAATCCAAGTTTGGGTGGGCTAAACCCTCCCTTAAATCCTTCAAAGCATGAGAAAAAAACGCTGATGTTACTAGAAACTGAGCTAAGACGTGTCTGAAAGTCTTTTCCACGTCACCCACGAGACCGCTGAATCCTCCTTTACAAAGACCTCTCTCGATATAATGAGTAGGGAGTGATAAATAAGTGAAAGATGTTGGATTCAGAGAAAGAAGTCTGAAAAACCTCTTGTAGTAAATGTAAAAAAGTGTCATATCCAGGGGGTTTGTGGGTAAAAGTGTGGCGCGACAATAAAACCCGGCTAACAGAGGGTTATGTTTACAATAATCTGTGCCAAAGGTTGCAGCAACATCGAGAGCAGATGGTCAATTTAGGTGTTTATAGTCTCTCTTGTATAGAGCATCATCGATTTATTATGCATGCAGGACCTCTGGAAAAGGTTTACCATGCAGCCAGACTCACATTGCTGCACATTGCACCTATAATTATTGTCCTCCTAAAGTCAGGGAAGCCATAAAAGTGCTTAGTTGCAGCGCTCAATTTAATGTTCGTGGGGAAAGCCTGCATGCTCGGTTTTTTCGGGGCTGCGTGAGCATACAAATTCCCACAGACGAATGTGCAAGGCTGTGCTTTTTTCGAGGAAGCATATCCTGATGAACAGCTAGTTTATATCTGATCAAAGATATTCTTATTCAGCAAAACAAGAATGTATAATTTTGCGGATTACAAAAGTGGGGCACGGCGGGGCTTCTTGCCAGAGTGTGTCTTCGCCAAGATTAAGTGTAACAGCGGCGGGAAACACTTTAGAAGCATATTTAACAATCCCATCCCCTCACATCTTCGCTTTAACACCAAGCCATATAAGCTGTCCGCAACTTAATCTAATCATAAACAACTTTTTCTTCATAAAGCCGACTATTTAATGGGCTAAATAAGTTGAGATAATTCAGCCTGAGTCTATAGGATCTGGCAGGGGCTCATCTCCTCGCTCATCCCTAATGGAGTGTTTGGAAGAATTTCCAAAAAGACACACACTGGCCCTAATGCTTAATAGGCACGCCACATCAAAGATTAATATCCAGAATGCTATTAAAACTCAAGGACAGGCGGGAATGATAATTAGAAAATGCAATCACAAGCATCAGGCTAGATTAATTGCAAGGCGGCATTTCCTGATTTCTGGGATGCACGTGTCACGCTCACGCCACATTACGAGCACGCTCAGGGAGATAGCATTAAAAATGCAGCGGTGATGATGGCTCAGGACTTTGCGTTCGTCCTGGCATCAGATTAAGAAGCAGCGTCGAACTTCTCTCCTTTCTTTTTTTTGGACATGTTTGCAGACTTCTTAAAAGGTCAGCTCCGGTGCACCGAACAACCGTGACCGAGATCTACCCACAATCCTTTGTGTTTTTCCGTGTTAAGCCCCAACTTGAACAAACTAAGGCGAGAACTATTGTGGACTTGGGTGGTATTTGAACATTATTGCTGATTTAATTAGCTAAATCTGTCTGAGTGACTAAGAGTGATTTACGTCGGGATCTCATTAGCTCACTTATTTGATTTTCTATTCAAAGGATTACATTCATTTATATTCATCAATGGAAGCATAATACTAATTTGCTCACAGTGAATGCCTGCGCTGACATTAAAGTCCTTATTTAAGACCGTGCCGAACAAAAGCAGGAGGGATGGTGGAAGTAGCATGTGCCTATAACACCGTCTCCCCTCGGGGATTCTGTGAAAGCTTGTCAGGATAACTCTGCTATGGGAAACCACTAAATGGGCTCTATTAGAAAGAGAGGCAAGATTTATTAGGATTAACATCCAAAAGAGCATAAATTATGCATGCACACCCAAATTACCTATCAGGATGAGTCCTAATAGGGACAGAGCCTCGGAGGAGTATTGAAAGGAGACAACCAATAATGTGAGACGCCTTTTAATACGAGTAAATCTGACAGAAACAGAGGGATCGTTTGATGATTTTATACAGGAGGTGTTCTAGGTTCTGGACCACCCAGATGTTGAGTTTAAAGGAACCAAAAAGGCAAATGAATGAGGTCGGATCACAACAGGTGGATAACATGATTGTGAGAGACCGTGTGAGCTAACAGTTCATCATCAGTGAATAAGATCACTGTAAAAAAAGAAGGGACAAGGCCAAAAACTAAAACTGGATGGCTGTAATCTGTGGGCCCATACTAGGGTGACCATATGTCCTCTTTTACCCGTACATGTCCTCTTTTTTGGGAGCTTGTCCAGCTTTGTTCGGGGAAGTTTATAAATCCCTCAAATGTCCACGGTTTTGTATTGAAGTTTCTAGGCACTTTTCGAGTTTCGTCACTTGGACTTCCTGAGTTAGAAGCCCAAAAATCCACTCGATCCGACCCAAAAAACTCTCAAAATTACCTTCATGCGACTGTAACTTTTTCCCCCGTGTAGTCGTGCCCCTCACTCATGGAATTTCCTCCAACGATCTCTAAAGATGACAGCCTTTCCCTCTCTTACAGAGTTTAAGACTTCAATTACTGACCGTTGCTCCTCTGTTTATAACTGTTCTTATTAATTCCTTTGCTGTTGTGATTGATTGATTGTTTTATTGATTGTTTGATTCTGTAATCATATGAGGTCTGTGATCTCTGCGACATTGAAAATGAGGGAAACCTTGATGTCCTTTCGAGAATAAATAAAGGTTTGAATCGAATGGTCACCCTAGCCCACACTAAACGACATGACTCTGTAGTGGAGGTCACTGCATGGGCTCAAAATCTCACCTAAACACCCTGTATCCTCGAGGGATGGGCGATAATCTTTCGTTCACGATATATCGTCAGAAGAATCCTCCATGACAAATATTTGCTATCTCCTGATAAATACAATAAATGAGAGTTGATGATGTAAAGCGCGAGCGACGGACGCCGGCCGAAGCCCACACAGATCAGAATAACAAACAAACATGGCCGAAGGTGATGAAGAAGACGTTTCTGAGCATCTCATTCCTGAATGAATCTCCACATGAGGGATTTCTCCACATGAGTGCAATCAGGTCTGCCTGACATCAGACTGTGGATCTGCTGCTGTTCACTCTGTGAAATCAGAGTTTTCAACTAATGCTGGAAATGTTTGAGACTTGTTTGATGTCATTAGTTTTCTCCATAAACTACCACTTAAACTTGCGGTTAAAAATCTGATTTGAAGACTCCAACTGGTCCTCTCAAGACAGAATGAATCAAAAATATTGATTGGAATTTTAATATTTTTTATTGGGACATTTATCGTTGTGAGCAAAATGGCAAATCTTATTGTGATATTTTTTAGCCCGTATCGCCCATCACTAGTATCCTCAAACACCACTGACATATCTGAGCGTGAGCACATTGAGGATGGACTTGGTCAAAGTCGCCTTTCGATGACGTCTACCGCCTCCTTTAGGTCGCCAAAGGAAATATAAAAATAAAAGCAAAACTATCTATTGATAATCAGAGCTTACATTTTATTTTATTTTTCCTTTAAAAAGTTAACAACTACAATTAAATCCATCTAAAAATTACAGTACAGTGCGTTGTAATTCTCTGTATTATATGGAGAGAAAGTTTCGAGGTCGATTGAATGAACAAACGGAAATAAAGAAAACTGCAGGGGGCTTTTAACCGAAGACATTTGACGTATTAAATGGAGCACAATGTAGTTTCTCAGAGTGGACTTGCTGTGGTGTGACGTCTTTAACAGGCGCTGGGCCCTGAGCTGATCTGGCAGCCCGACACATCTGGTTTGTTCTTGGCTCACAGCTCAAACGCCAGAATCCCTGATGGTCAGAATTTGTCCCCATGACATTCATAGATTCATTAATGCTGAATAACATGGACAAAGAATGACTTTTCAATGGAAGACTTTGATTTACACACCAAGAAGACACCAGACTATGTTTTAGACAAACTACAACATCATGGCTCAGAAGTAGAGGGGTCTACATGTCAAACAAGTCTATCTGAAACCGTTAACATTTGGCGCAAAAATCTGAAATAGGCATGTATTTCCAGTTTTAGTATTTCCGACAAATTTGCACCCATCAAACTCTGTTTTTATCAATATTTTCCACAGCTACGTCACTATTTTGGAATCGTGGTTGTACCCCTAAAATCTTTGGGGATTCAACATCTTTGAGGACGTGAAAAAGACACATTTATCTTTGGGAAGACATGCGGCGGCGCGTCTTTGCTGGTACGAAATCGAATGAGCTTGAAGCGGGATGTAAAAATATAAACCTCCTTTCAGCGTGGCGCTTTACAGCGGCGCCTTTTTTGCTCCTGTCAGAAGCGCTCAGCTCCTGGAGGTGCCTGTATTATGCTGTTCAAACACACTCACCGGCTGTGAAGAACTGTTTGCAGATCAGTAATGCAACTTATAATTAGTGCAGCTTGCTCCTTTACAACTCAAATACAGAAGGAGACGGGGACATGACAGGGAGTTGTAGCTGCAGTTATTAAACTTCATTTGGGTTTGACATTCATTTAGCTGCTGATGCACTGCAGTGACTGTCTGCAGTCTGTTTCACTGGGGTGGTGGACTTTTTTATTCCTCTTAGTCATTAATCACTTCCATTAGTTCTGCATGCTTTCTTCTTAAAAAGAGATCATTACAGTCTTCTGACAAAACATACGGCTGCTTTTCTAAGTGTGAGTTTAATCGTGTTTCTCTCTCTTCATGGAGAAATTTGTACTTATTATTATAGGGGAACTATTATCTGATTTTATGACGATAATCTGATGGTTTTAATATGAGCTTTTGGGGCGATGGGGAAAAGATGAAGTTACAGGTCTGAAGGTCAGGTCTGTGTTGTTGCCATGGCTGCATTCGTTGTGCTTCCTCCTTCAGTCAGCTTCATCTCGAAGGGGTAAAAACAGCAAAAACTCCAATTTCAGTCTCATTTCTGATTCACTTTACCTCACATCCACCTGGCCGAGTCCACATTAGTGTTTAATTTTAAGATATTTCAGCAAAAAAAATGACCAGAGCTGCTTGTCATGAGTTAAAAAAGTCGATATGCAAATGGAATTAGGAGAAAAACACTTGACAGGTACCACATTTAAGCAAATCCTTTGTGGAGAAAATCCATTTGCAGATTCGTACTCATTATTTCAGGTCTTATTTTGGGTTTACAGTATTTGGAAATGAGCTATGACACTGAAATTAAGCCTAAAATGAATAGTTTGACTATCCTCAGGGTTCCCCTCCATACATCAGGATATCTGATTATAACTTATGAACATGTGTGAGATTTCAAATCAGGGGATCAGGGGTAGAAAAATCATTCTAAACTGACCTCAAACCTCAGGAAAATCCACAAGGATTATCAATACAACTATAAAAAACGATGACTTTGTTGACTTTTGTCAGGAGGGATCCAAAATCCTCCGGTTAGTTCGTATGGTGAACTTCGCTTTGGTCTGACTCTTGCATGCTGAGCAGCCAGCTGACCCCGGGTTAATGGTAGTTAGAGTTTTGGTGCAAATACTGGAACATCTTCTGCTCCAATTTACACACATTTTATGAGTGATTTGTCCAGATTTCGGTTCAGACTGGTTGAATATTTCTATATTTTTGCATAGTTCTTCTTTTGTCTGTATTGTTGTGCACGCTGATGCACCATAAAACTCATCCCTCATATGTGGAAATCTACATGGAAATACGCCTGACGCTGACAGGTGCTGCATTCGCTCACCTCAGTGAACACGAGTCTCTTTTTCTGCTGACTAACCGATCTTGACAACCCATGAATAGCATGCGTCGCACAACGTCTGCAGTGTGCATCCTCTTCCTCTATAGCTTACACACACACACACACACACAAGAGGCTTACTTTACACATCAAACACACATGCGCGCGACGCCACATGCATATGTTAGCAGAAGTCCTGCAACCTTCAAGACTGAGCAGGTAACACAACAGATAAGTCTTCTTTTCTGCAGACTTTAGATCGTATAACAGAGGAGTCCCTGAAAACAGGAGTTTGAGGATGTTTTTTTTTTCTGCAGTGAAGTGTTTCCTTGTGTGTCTGAGGGTTTTTCTATCCTACAAGGACTTAAAGTTTAATGTAAAAGACATCTAAGTATTCCGGCTGTGCCTCCTGACTCCGGTTTCCTCTTTTCACAGGGATCTTAAGGACATCAAAAGAGAGGAATACAATGTCTGTTCTGATGACACATGCTAGCAGAAACCTATTACCATAATTCGCAAGTCACCCAGGACGTTTCCCAGCTGATTGGATACCATGATAACCAATCAGGTTCTGCTCCTCCTCATGCTCTCCATCCTGTGGCCCAGCGCTGCCCTGCCTTTCACGCCTGGGAATATTGGGAATCTGTTTGGGATGCAGGAGAGTGATGGGAGAGTTCTGCAGCGCTCCAAACGTGGATGGATGTGGAATCAATTCTTTCTGCTGGAGGAGTACACAGGAAACGACCATCAATATGTCGGCAAGGTAACGTGTCCAAACACATTGTCTGCAGACTAATTGTAGAAGGTTGAGCTTGTTGGAGGAGTGTTTGATGTAATTGGGCGAAGATGAATGGGGCTGCCAGGACGCTGGCTGTTACAGGCACAGTTAACTGGAGCTATCAGATACACCGCACACTCACACTCACACTCACTGCAATCTTTGCCTCTGGCCTTACACGCTTCTCGACTAGGATGCTTTTTAATCACACTGTATTTACTGCGAGAGCTCTAATATCACCGACTCGACTAGGCGGATGCCATCGACGGAGTAAGATGAATTTCTTGTGAACCGAAATAGCAGAAAAAGTGCTTCTTAACCAGTCAGTGGAGTCACTTTTGTCAGACAGGCATAATAATAATCATAAAAGCTCGAATCAGTCAATAAAACAGAGAGAGCATGAGTCATCAGACATTCAAAAACAAGGCAGGGACAGAAATACACTTCTACTTTGTTTCAATTTGGGTTTCAAGCAACGTAAAGACAGGAGCGCCTCCAAGACTCAGACTGAAGTAAGTGGATGAGCTCTTTGGACATCATAAAAGTTCCCAGAACAACTTAAGGGACACTGTCTATAAAAACTGAGAGGCCTTTTCGGTCAGCACGTTCACGTCACTCCATAAAACATGAAATAGTTTTGGCATCAAGCCTCTCTGACGGGGAGTCAAAGAAAAAGATGGTACCAGAACTGAATGTTACTTACTCTGGGCTGGATTTGATAACCAGGACAGCTAAGCGAATTGAACTTAAAGGGATATTCCAGTGTAAAATTAATTTATGGTCAAACACACTGTAACATCAAGTTAGACGCCCCCTCCAGAGATGAATGTTGCAGACCGCTTGCTTCTCTAGTTATACCAACTTTAGTAACGACCACAGATAGCAATACAGAGAGCCACACGCTCAACCAAAACACCACTCTATAGCCACATTACAGACTACTCTCTTCCAGCAGCTGCTTGTTTGTAGGGAGACCTCAAACCAGTCCATTACAGACAACTGTGGGGTGCCGCAGCTCAAGGAAGAACATTTATGATCATTTCTTCATGGAAATACAATCAGACCGAGACGCTAAAAAAAAGAACTGCCGTGTCTGCAGAGCAAAATGATTAATATGGTGATTTTTACTTCAAGGAAACGATAAAGAAATGATCATAAATGTTCTTCCTTGAGCTGCGGCACCCCACAGTTGTCTGTATTGGACTGGTTTGAGGTCTCCCTACAAACAAACGGCTGCTGGAAGAGAGTATGAAGAGTTGTGTTTAGTCTCTTTGCTAAAGAAATGAGTCAAAGTTAAAAAGATGTTTGGTGTCTAGTACTATGTCTGTGACCCTATATGTCCTGTTGATGAAGTTAGGTGCTGTTCTGAGCATTATTTGTGGCTATAGAGCGGCTGTGTATTTGGCAACATTCATCTCTCGACGGGGTGTCTAACTCGGTGTTGCGGTGTGTTTGACCATAAATAAATTTATGCCGGAATATCCCTTTAGGACAAAACAAACCAACATTTCTCCCACCTTTGACTCATGTATCATGCAGAGTTACATCATGCATACTTTGACTCACTGCATCCACAGTGATCAGCATACATCCTCTGACCCTTGGAGGAAAGCTGCTGTGGCTCTCAGGTGGGCTGTTGAGGACCACACCAGAGCTGTAAGCTGATAAGAAGCTTTATCTTCTGGCCTTCCTCTCTCTTGTTGACCTTTGGCGTGGAAAGTCAGGTGTTTTTCAAACGATGCCTCTGGTGCTCTTACTCTTAACGAGGCACGCCGGTTGAGCATTTGGAGTTGGTAGTAAAACAGTCCAGTCTTAGTTAAGCAGTCGGCTTTTACTGTCTATTTTTAACGTCATTGTTTAAAGTTTCTTTTGGGGGTTTTCACTGTCTTTATTTAGAGAGGACAGAAGACTGAACAGATCAGACCTAATCCTATGCCCACTGGAGGCATCACCTGAGCACATAAGACATTCTGTTTATGAAAACCGCCTGAAGGCAGGAGCTCGGCTTAGTCCATATGTCCTTAAGTCTAAAAAACACCTCTGGACAGACGCTCAGATAACTGGGCCCTCAGCTGCGTCTTTATCTGTGAGGATTTTAAGTTAGTTACAACAAAACATCTTATAAAACATGTATAACCAATGACAAATCAAAGTTTATACATGGTTATAGATTGTAAAAGTGAAAGAAATGACAAAAATGCAAAATCAAGTAGCTGGTTGTGTCTCCGTCACTGGAAGAGTTTGTCCTTTCGCAGGGAAAATATGACAGATCTGACACGCTCAAAGGCCAACCAAACAATTAGTTAGTTTAGTGCTCCTCGTGGTCTTTGAAGAAGCTAAATTAAGAGCTTTTAATAACATCTTTTTCTTCTTTGCCAAATGGAAAATCCTAACAGCAAACTACAATTTTTACCTGCTGTGAATTTTTGTCTTTTAACCCAAATTCAACGTAATAAACGATCATTAAAAGCTCAACAAAGGTGTGCTTTCTCATGCTTATCTCAGCCCTCTGTTTCTCATTATGCAGTTGGAGAGTTTTGGGGTGCTTTCTCTAAACTTCTCAGTTCTCACATGAATCACTCAGTCACTCATATTTAACTGCATTTTTGAATTGACAGTGGAAATGTTCTGCGCCCAAAATAGCAAGCGCAAGAATATAAGAATGCAAATTTTGGGTGTTCTTCAAAAAATGGGTCAGCGATGATGAAAACGCCCAAGACAAACAAAAAAGTAAGAGAGATACACTCTGACACTCTCCGTAATTTGGATGAAAAACATCTTCAGAGAGGCTCCTCTTTTCACCGAATAGAGGTTTACAAAGGCTGTGATTCAGTGAGTCATTTTAAAAAGCAGAACCCCACATGATTCAACATGAATCAGTTCAGGGCTCAGACGAGTCAAACTCAACCAAAGACTCGAGCGAGTCCCAGGTGTCAGAAAAATGGTTTGAGACCAAATTAAAAAAACTGCAGCTCCTGCGAGACTCTTTTTCTTCTGAGAATCCCCCCAAATTGAAAGTTTTCGGGACAATGCTCCTCCTCCACACCCAGCCAGATCAGAGAGGCTGTTGTCAGCTCACCCGTGCCGACACTATAAAGACAGGTGTGATGGGGAGCGCTACAGTTATCAACTCGAGGGAGGAAAATGAGGTGACTGTCGACAGCCAATTTTCTCAGAGGAAGCTGGCTTTCATCACACACCTCATTCTCAGGAGTAAACAAGTGTCTTGTGCGAGGTTGAGTAGGGGGATATGACAACTTCTTTCGCGGAAACCATCACCCTGATGTGGTGGAGAGAAGGGAACAGTGAAAATTAATGGAATAGGAAGAAGAGGAGAGGGGATACAAAAACATATCAATCACAAAGGGCCGCTGATGCTCACCTTGTTGTGTTATGTGATGAAGCAGCAGAGCAAATGCTGACTCTAAATGGGGCCATGCCTTGATATGTCAGTGACTGGTGTGATGTGGCTTTCTCCTCCACCCTTTGATGCTTTCTGGCACTCAACTTCTGCACAACGACAGCAATCACATTCACCAGCTCTCCTACTCCTCCTGTGTCCAATATCAGTCACCATTAAACTGTCAGGAAAACATGAGCATGTAATAAATTACCAATGCAGGGGGGGAAACAGGCCACTCACTCTCTGTGTCCTACAGAGAAAAAGCTGTAACTGCATGTTATGAATAAATCCACCGGTTTAGCACCAAAGTCCTAAATTACAGAGCGGGCTGTTGATACTTGGATAAGGCGTAAAAAATGGAACAAGTTTGAGGGAAGATGTGGACATGGATCTGAAACAATATGGAATAAAGCAACAACATAAGTCATGAACAGAACGATCTCATAGGACATGATACAATATAATTAAACTGTGTAATATGAGGAAATAGAACACAATGAGGTACGGAATGATGCGAAAAGCTACAATATGATACAATACAAGAGGGTGGAATGTAACGCAATACTAGTCAGTACTATATGATGCAATACCATACGATACGATACGATACGATACAATTCGATATGATATGATATGATACAATACAATATGATATGATGATACAATATGATGATGTGATGTAATATGAGACTTTAGAACATGATGAGATACTGAATGCTGTGAAAAGTTACAATATGATACAATACAATAGGATGGAATGTGATGCAATATTATTAAATACTATATATGACCGATACAATACAATATGATGTGATACTTTACTATACAATCTGCTATGATATGATATGTTACGATACAATATGATATGTAACAAAACAATACTATGTGATATGATACGATATGATAATATGATTAACTATGAGACAATAGAACATGATGAGATGTGGGGTGCTGGGAAAAGCCACAATGTGATGCAGTATTATTAGAGTACTATATGATACAATGCCATATGATACAATATGATACTTTACTGTATGATCTGATTTGACATGATATGTTACAATACAATATGATACGCAGCGATACTACTATCTGGTTTGGTACAATATGAAGATACCCTGTAATATGAGACAATAGAACACGATGAGAAACGGATTGCTGCGAAAAGCTACAATATGATACCTTACAATAGGATGGAATGTGACGCAATATTATAATGTATTATATGATGCAATGCAATACGATATGAAAAGCTACTATACGATCTGATATGATACAATATGATTGCACCGTGTAATATGAGAACATTGGAACAAAATGAGATACGGAATGCGACAAAGAGCTACAATATGATACAATACAAGAGGATGCTATATGATGCAATATGATAAGATATGATACTTGACAATACGATCTGTTATGATATGATATGTTATTATACAATATGATACGTAACAATGTAATACTACATGATATGACACAATGTGATTTTACGATGTAATATGAGACAATAAAGCACGATGAGATATGGAATGCTGTGATAAGCTACACTATGACACAATACAATATGATAGAATGTGATGTAGTATCATTAAGTATGATATGATGCAATTCAATTTGAGACAATATGTTACTATATGATCTGACATTATATGATATGATATGTTACGATACAATACTATGTGATATGATACAATATGATGCAGCGCGATGAAATATGATTCTGTACTATATGATGCAATGCAATATGATAAGATATGATATGACATAACACGACACGGTACATAACAATACAATACAATATTATAATGTATGATATAATATGTCACAATATGAAATTATAAGACGTGGTGTATTAAGATAATGATTGGAAACGATTTAGTATGACAGTATATTACAATAAAAATATACAACTTTAATCAACTGGAGAGGACATTATCATATGAGATGAAAATAATATACAATACACTTACATAGGATAAAACTAAGTATAATACAATTTAATTGATATATGATATGTGATTCAGCATGGTATTGTATGATATGGTGTAATACGATATACTAATATGCATATTTGATAGATGTGATAAGTCATGAGAGGATACAGTACTTTTTAAATAGTTTCTATACCATAAGGTAGGATATATCATGTCATACGATACATGCAATACGATGCAAACAATATGATAACATGGCTTGTATGAAGCAGACTAAATATGATACAAATGGTACTATACAACACAATGAAGTACAATAATTAACGATACAATACAATGTTTTTTGCCTCTGAGAAATGTGTCTCAGACTTATCTGCTGCAGCTGCCTCACAATAACAGAGAAATAAAAAATCATTTTAAATTCACGGAGGGAAACCAGCCCAGACTCAACCCAAACACCATATGCTGCACATTTCACATATTGCACAGCATGAGCACAAAACATTATATATATGATAGAAAGTGTGAAGATGAGAAAAGATGATTGCACAAGCCACGCAGCCTCAAGAAACACTGTTCCAAATTTTTACCCAGGTGAACACAGGAGAGGTTTTAAAACTCTTCAGCTCACTTTGGGGAACTTTGTATTCTTGGCTTGAAGGTAAGAGCTGGAGCTCAGAGAGGAGGGTGTGCGGTGAAAACAAAGTCAGAGAACAGATGGATAGACATTAAACAAGCAGAGCCAAAACTTTCTTGATTTAGTGATTCATCTGCTACTCCTTTGACAATTAAAGTTTAATTTTAGTCAAAATGTCAAAGTTAATTATGACAACCTTGCTTTGATTTTCCTTGTCACGCAGAGCATGTTTGAAAACTCGAAACCCCCCTGGGCAAAACAGAGACGTGGATCTCTTGGGCAATCTCATCCTGTAGGTCACATTCACATTCTGCTTTCTGATAACAATCAAATCATTAAGACTCATTATGAATCTTTGTCTGGAAAAAAAATGTAAACAGGCTGTTTTGACAAATGTTTTGTCTGATAACGACCTGCTGGCAGCTGCTACAGGCGCGGAAGATAAGTCTAAAGAAATGATCAGTCTTACCTCAGATGCTCTTGTTTGCTTTTGCAGGTTATTAAGAGGGATCTGTCTTTATTTTAATGAGTTTTAAACCAGTTACAAAATCTTCTGATGCCTTTTTTAAAAGTATTTTTTAGATAAATTAAAGCTCCCGTGACAAACTTTAGGTCTGCGTCATTTTTGGCGCCCCCTGGCAAAGAATCTCATCCTGCTGACAGTCAAACGAATCATGTTTTGTAAATATTTCATGTGGAAATTGTAACAACATGGCTGCATCTTTGGCACCTACACCCTCGCACCAAACTCAGATGTTAAAAATTCAGAAGTAGTAATCATAAAGCTTGCGGCTAATGGTCTTGTTTGCTTTTCGATACCATGAAAAACCATAAAGTTGAATTTTAGTCGATTCTGTTGACGTAAAAATACCCCTTATTAGAGCTTTAAGATAGTGTACGCTAATGATATTCACTAAACTCTATGTTTACGAGGAAATAATTGCTAGATATATAGTGATTGATTTTAACTCTTAGATTAAGCTGCAGAATGAACTAACAGATATGATCAGCTGCATTGTCTATCAATAATTCATCTTTTTTGGCGTAAGGATTAACCGATAAAGCGCCACAATAACTGGGGGATCATCGAGGACTAAGAGTACTCCTTAGTAAACATGGTAACAGATGGAAAATGACAAAAATGGCCAATCAAATGCAAAGACTACAGACTACGAGATGACAGAAAAGATGATGGCGCAGAAAGAGTGCTGGGAGCTGCGAAGACATAATAACAGACAGACAGCTAGATTAGAGAGGTAGAGGGAGTGATAGAAAGACAGATTGAGACCAAAAGCAGGAAAAAAAGAGAAAAAAAGAGCACTTTCATGCTCAGCACAAAGCTATCACAGCCTCAATGGTCTTCCTCATGACGATCGTTTAATGGCCTTTGCAGTGCACCGTGGGAGGCCTTGTTTATTTCACATTCAATCAAACCTCTCCAATCAGCCCACACACACTCACTAACTGTCACTTGAGGTTGATTTCTTGATTACGGCAATCAAAATGGATGTAAAGAACAGTCGCAGACTCACATTGCCGGCTGCTTAACGGAGACGGGAGCACAACCGCCGCAGAAACGTATAATAAATGCAGCTCGTATGGCTTATCGAGGTGTTCAAAAGGCATGCTGCTGAGTGCTGCTGACTGATACCTTCTGTGATGATAAGAGGAAAAAAAAAAGGCTGTAAAGTTTGTAATGTTTCGAGCACTTAGTCTGCAGAAATCGTCAAGGCTGAAACGAAAGCATGATACATTTCTATTCTTGTAAAAACACGACTGCGGCGGCCGTGCATGTGTCGAGCGTAAAGCCCCTCCAATCTGGTTTTAACTGACTTTCACGGGGGCCATTAATGAGTGTGAGCGCTCGCTGTGTGCAGCTGTGGTGCCCTACTTCTTAGGCACGGCTGTGTGGTGCGGCGCGGTGCGTGTGAACACTCGCAATGCTGAGCAATACAACCCCGAAAAACTTTGCATCCTGGAGCATTTGAGTGGCGTGTTTGAAGTGAACAAAATCCTATTAAATTCCTGCCTCATTTCATTGTCTTGTGCCTTGTAAAGAAAATGCGCTGCCCTGAATTAGAATATTCAAGGTAGCTCGCTTTGTTGTGCTAATATTTCCCCAACAAGTATCCTGGAGATATTGCAGGGCCTTGCTCATGACTTCTGCAGAGCTTGTAGGGAAATGCAAAGCAGACTGTAGATACCTTAAGCTGTAACTTTAACCTGCACGGTATACCGGTACATTATAGTGATGTTTTCCAATAGTGGAGAATTTCTACCCGAATTAAGAGACAGAGAGGGAGAGAGAGGGGAAGAGTAATTATCCTGTATCCGTTCCGCGCTCTATTTTGCTATCTCCTCTTTGCAGCAGCGAGCAATGCTTACCAGAGACCTGACAAGAATTGCCAATGATTTTGCTGCTTTACTGACAATTCCTCAGTGTTTGTGCAAGGCGATTTAACTCATCAAGGCTCTCTTCTGTGCTTCTGTTGTAAAGGCCTTGAAAAAAAGGCTGTGTTTGTGCTGCGAGGCCTTGAAAGGGGAGCCACTAAATCCCTGCAAATATAGTTCGGCAGTGCTAACATTTGATTTTGTTCGAGCTGTGTGGAAAACACTCTGTCAAGAGTATCAATGCCACATTCTTTAAAAGCTGTAGTCGCTGTAGTAGGTTTTCCCACTACATTCTGACATTTAAAATCTCACTTGTGGAGTACAGTATTTCAATAAAAATCAGCTCAGCCTGCCTCCTGCACTCCGAGTCACTACTCTGTTTACATTGAATCCATACAGTTTCTACCACACTTCCCTGCAGAAATGAAATCTTTAACCTCCGTGTTGCTGGCACAGAGCCTGCCTGCTTTCCATGAGCAGAAGAAGCACTCTTATTTTTAGACGCCGTGCTATCCAATGGTAGCTGCTTATTTCAGCAGAACACCTCCTTATTTGCACTAACACTCGGTGAGAAATCTATACGGCCTCGGGGAGAAGTTCTGTTTACCCATATGATTAGGAAGCTGACATTATGTAGACATCAGATAATTAGTAAAAGCACAGGAGGTAAGGGCCTGCATGCTCCCTCGTCGACTGAGGGAAATATGTAAAATACATAACACAAGGTTCTGTGAAAGTCCCATTATCCTGCAGACAGCTCGGCTGCAGAGGCTACAGGCTCCTTTGATGGCGCGTTGTTTGTTGTTTTTGCTTCTCAGGTTCCTTTCTGCGGGATTAACAACAAAGAATAGAAATATGGTAATAATCAGATGGAAACTCCAGGAGAATACAATCAAAAGATTTGGAATAAATGCATCTTTCTGTTGTCTGAAATTGTGTGGTCTAATTATTACACTGGAGGCGTTGTGTGTGAGTGTTTGTGGTAATGATTCTGAACAGCAGACATTATATGTGCTCTGCAGCTTTGTTGTTACAGCCATTAGAAATGGAGTCGGTCCAGATAGTCGGAGCTTTTCAAGACGCAGTTTCAGGCTGTTTCTGTATTTAAGTTTGAAATTATGTTTTAAATCTTGGAGGTGAGCTAAGAGTGCTGAATCTTCACCATATTAAAACAATGTCCGAAGTCATTTTTTGACGAAAATGAGTTTTTGGTCTAAATCATCTCTTGAGCAGTGATGCGGAGCTTGACCGATCTGTCGTGGTGAAGAAAGAGCTGAGCCGTATGGCAAGACTCTCGATTCACCGGTGGATCTACGTGCCGATCTTCACCTATGGTCATGAACACTCGGGAGGCGCTCAGAGTAGAACCGCTGCTCCTCCACGTCGGGAGGAGTCAGCTGAGGTGGCTCGGGCATCTGGTTAGGATGACTTCTGGACGCCTCCCGTCAGAGGTGTTCTGGACATGTCCTACCGGGAGGAGACCTTGTGGTTGGCCCAGGACCAGGTGGAGGGATTATATCTCTCACCTGGTCTGGGAGCGCCTGGTAATCCTCCCAGATGAGCTGATGGAGGTGGCTGGGGTGAGGGCCGTCTGGGCATCCTTCCTGAAGCTGCTGCCCCCGCAACCCAGACCCGGATGAAGCAGAAGAAAACGACGACCACTTATAGTTAGCGTACCGTTTTAGTGTTTTTGTAATAGCTAGCAACCCTCAGCTGTAAGACAACATGAAAAGGTCACATGACTGAGCACAGGATAAAAACGGCAGGACTCTGTTGTTGCTGGCATGTTTGTCTTGTGCACAGGTAGTCGACAGCTGTCAAAAACAGGAGTATTATCGTTAATTTTATCGTAATCTCCATGATATCTAACGTGTCCTGGGAAGACCGTATGGCAGCTGTCCTGCCGAGCCAGCAGGCAGCTAACTCACTCATAGGCCATTTACTTATATTCAGTAAATTCCCAGATCTAGGACCACCATTTTTACAAAACAGGGAACAAGGCCAAAAGTGTTAATGTGCCCAAAGTATCCTGTTTTCTTGTAGAGCTCTCAGATTTCATAAAACCAGGAAAAAGGTTTATCCAGGTGTCTAAAATCAGGATCAGATGACCACATAGACAAAAATGGGAGACTTAAAAAAAGCATTGAAAGCAGGTATCATCATCGTAGACCAGTTAGAGTTAGTTGTCAAGTGATACAAAGAATTACAAGCTTAGTTATTCATACAAGTTCTGTGCTGGTACTCGGTATACATAAATACTCCAAGCAAGGTGTTCGAATCAGTGTGAGGTCTGCTCATGGAAAAAAGAAATGCAAATACGCCACTTCAGAGACGTGCATTTCAAAGCGGAGAAAAGGTGAATGCAGCGCCACAAAAGGCTCATTTCACAAGAGTAAATTTACACACATATGAAGGCCATTAGAATGCAAAAACTCCTGCGATCCAAAATTAGCCTGACACTCATCTTCACATATCATAAACCCTCGCTTCGGCGGAGAATTCATATTCAGAGACGACGACTGTCTCCCCGAAAACAAATATATGTGAAAATTAAGGCTCCTCTTTGATAGACTTTGGATTAATGGGGTTCATTTGCATTAAAATATTTCCAAACACAGCCTGGAATACTGTGCGTATTGTTCATTTTCAACTTGACAGCATCCTGTTTTCACACGTGTCCCCGTTTTCTAATTTCTGCCGGAGAAGTGCTAGCACTGCGGCGATTTATTTCTGATTTCCATTCAAAGTTGTACTGTTGACATCACTCTTCCAACTGCAGGAAAAAATAATTAGTTTCCTCACAGCATGCAGACATAAATATTAATGAGCTACTGACGTACATTCTGTGTCCCTAACTACATGTCATTTAAAATGTGAGCCCATGAGATAGCGCTCTAAATATATCTGCTGACAGATCCAGTACAGTAATGAGCTTGAATCAAGTGTCTGTCACAGCAGGCCGCCATTACTCCTCAGTGACACCGAGAGCGCGCTTCAAGGTGATGGATAGGTCAGAGGTGACTAATTTTAGCAGTTGTTGCTGTAGGTCAGGTTTTCATCATTTTTCAAAGGCGCAATTTGGAAGAAAAATCGGAGACTAATTTGATCTGAACTAATGGAGTGTGTCGCACTTGACACCGTGGGTGTGCCAAGGCCACGCTCTGTTCGGAGACAGTTTGAGTCCTCAGAGGGTTTGAAACGTTTTCTTTTTACTGTTCACAAGAGGGACTGTTATTAACGTGTTTTGGGGAAAAATCTGAATATTCAAAGTGGAGAGAGCCTCTGGTTTTGAACAGAAGGCTTTTATTCTTTCTAAAACTCGTGAAATGAAATAGACCCAACCTTTGAGCAGTTTAATCACATCTAAAAGTCTTTCAATTACTTTTACAATACAGGATGATATTTGTGTTGGAAATGGATGGTACTAGTTCCCTGCTGCCTCTGATTAAAACGGTTGCCATGGTGAGATATCAACCAAGATAGATGCGTAACAAAAGGTTATCTACCCTGAAACCCTGAGCTTTAAAGAGCTGATAGGAGAGGCATCAGAGCCAGAGAATGAAATCTAAACAGTAAAGTCACTGCGTCACCAGTCTTAAGAGAATAAAGTCATAGTTGTCGTTTTATCATGAGGATAAAACTGCTATGTCAACGAAAAAAGTCGTATTGTTTTGAGAATAATTTAGTCACGGTGAAGCCATAATCTCATGAAAATACATCTGTGGTACACGAACAAAGTCGTGACGATTATCGTATTTTGGTCATCATCAGAGCAGCCAGTACCAGAATAAGGACGTGGAGCGTCTGGTGAGTACCATGGTTGCAGAAGCAAGTCCAGACTCTTAAGTGGAGTCAAGCTCTTTATGTCTTTTCAGAGTCTCTATGCTGAGGACGGTGTATCACAGATGTACTAAAAGGCTGATTATTCAGTTATCGGAGAAACCGTCACTAGACTCGGACTTCAGATTCCCAGTTTTTCCTCATTTTCCATCAAGCGGATTGTTACTAATTTCAGTATGTAATGAACCATTAACTAAAATAATGATTATATTCTGGTAACAGTACAACTTTTATCCTCGACCTTATGTGGACCTAATACTCTGTCGGCCCTGTTACAGAGTCTATTAACTGACTCTATAACTGAGATTTCTTTTATTGGTTTGTTTATTTTTAGGATTGACTTTAAGATTTATTTTTGGCCTTTTTGGTTTTATTTGGAGAGGACGGGACAGTGGACACAGAAGGGGAGAGAGAGCAGGGTTGACATGCAGGAAAGGCAGCGAACCTGGACCAACAGCTCAGAACATTACGACGGTTTATGGGGCGCATACTTAAACCACTAGGTCTACATATGTGTCCTTTGATTACCAGGACACAAAACACATATTTAAATATGTATCTACAACGATAAGGAGGATTTACTGACTCGGTTACAATGATCACTTTGCCCGATTAGACGATCAGAAAGCCTAGTTTGTTATTCGGTCCATGATGGTTCCCAACATATCATCACAACTGATGGACTGGACTGGACTACACTGAGCAGCTGTTTTAGCAAAGCGCACCTATACTGAACTGCCTACTGAGTGTGTTTACTGTAAATATGAAGGCTTGTGTCCATCAGTTTTATGTTATACTTCAAGACAAGTTTTGATTTCAGAGAACCGGCAGCGGAAAGAGCCAAAAATATCTGTGTGCTATTAGTATTGGGACGAAGACGGGGTTTAAATCCCACGAAGCTGACTCTGTGTTGTTGTTTTTTCATTGTTAAAACTATTTTGAAAAAGGTGCTGAAGGAAAAGAAACTGTCAACTGAAGCGTAATAAAGTGGATTTATTTTGGGAAGGAATAATCCTCTCAGCTAGAGATGAGAACCTTGGCAATACTCCCACTACCTACAACATTGGAAGCCCATGGGTGGACATTTTGGGTATTTATGAGCATTAAACAGCACTCGACGTGGCGAATACACTTGACGTGAGCAACAAGAGGGGTGTTTTTGTGCGGGGGTGTGTTGAAGGTGATTTTGCCTCGTGAATACTCTGGATCTAGGACATCTACTTCTTTCTAATCTGAGTAAACTATGTCTCTACTTTACAGTTGCACTCCAGTATGGACAAAGGCGAAGGCAACGTGAAGTACGTTCTGACCGGGGACGGGGCGGGCACCCTTTTCCTGATCGACGAGAAGTCCGGGGATATTCACGCCACCAAGAGGCTGGACAGGGAGGAGAAAGCGATGTACACCCTTTACGCCAAAGTTTTGGATAAGAACACCAACGCCGAGCTGGAGTCTGACACCGAATTCAACATAAAAATCCACGATATCAACGACAACGAGCCAAAGTTTGCAAAGGATATCTACTTCGCCAGCGTCCCTGAGATGTCTGAAGTCGGTAAGTTAGGGATAAAAGTTTCTGCATCTTTTACGAACTGTCGGTTTGTCTGTCATGAGCTGTCTCTCCCTTTACGCTGCAGCAGTCAGAGCAGTTTTTGTGATCCTTATTTGTTTGGTCAGGCTCATTGAGCATGCATAACAAGTAATGCCATTTGCCATTTTTAATAGGCAGTGGAAAATATTGAAAGTTTAAATTGTCGCAGTCTTTCCAATTAAGGACTTGCTTCATTGCCCTCCACTTCATTCCATTCAAGTAATATAAATAAACCAATCGGGATGAATATAAACAAAGCTTATAAAAAAAAAAAAGAAAAATACTGCATGCAACTTGAAATCAATTCTCAAATGAAACCGCAAATTAATACACAGGAGCAATCAAGGGTGAATCAAAACCCAATTGACAAGCAACAATGGCCTATTTGGGATTCATAATGCGCTGCTCTTAGATTTCTCTGTCTCATGCACGCTGGCTAAAGGTGGGTCAGGGTCACCGCTGTTCATCCTCGGACTAATAAACTGCCTTATATGTTCAGACTGAACACGCTGGTTAATCAAGCCAGCCAGCCATGGAAAATCAGCAGCTCCCTTTTATGCTATCAGTGCTGGGGACTAAGTGGGACAGATGTTCAAGGGTTCATTAGTATGCATGGAGACAGTCGGACCCAAACAGGACACGGCAGAGGTCCCCTGAATGCCAAGGACAGTATTTGCAAAGTGCTGTTATTGAAACGCTTGGGTGGATTATGTGGGACTTAATATGAGAGTGACTGAATGACAGGAGATCTGAGGAGGACTGCGCTTTGTCTGGACTGCAATATTTATCAGGGAACAAATTTACCATATATTAGAGCACCTCTCATTTAAGTGTGCGGTGTGCAGTCTGAGCATGATCACTGCTGTCTTTATGGTGCAGCTTTTCACCCTGATAAATGCATTTTTATTAAAGGTTTCCAGTCCAGATGGGTCAGATTGATCCCCAGGAGGTAAAATCAGTATCCACCAGCACACACTGTTTATTCAGATACAGTGTCCATGAGCATAGTAATTACAGTCCAGCTCCGCAGCAGGAGGTTCTCTACTCTGGCTCTGGTTAAAGAGGTCAGGGGAGAAAATAAATGAATATAAATAATGCATTGGTAATATGACCTGGCCGGGAAAAGGCAGCTCTGCTCGTATGCAAATGGACTCTTTTTTAAAAATTTTTTATTTTTTTAAACAACTCAAAAGAGACACTTTTCAGAGTCGCAGAGATTTATCTATCTCTAAATGGCCCAAAAAATTAAAAAAATGTCTATTATTATTATAATTATTATTTATATTTTAATTCTTTTAAATTACTTATTTTTAATTTTATTATATTTATTATTATTATTTTTTTTATTTTTTTTCAGTGAAGTTGGAGCAAAAATGTGTAACTGCCTTCTTTATTTTTTTAATTTATTTTATTTATTTTCTGCATGAACTGGTATGGTAACAGGGACTATTTTAAACCGGCCCCTTTGGCTGTGTGGAGCTGTGCTGAGCAGTAATACATCCCATGTTAGCCACCTTGTAAAACAGAGTTTTGAAGCAGTTGCCATATCGATAATGACCAGAGGTGGGGCTATAGCTTCCTCGCACGCAACTACAGTGTCAAGATTGGCTTATCTTGTAAGCTTAATACCTTAAAAACAAATTCAAGTGCCACTGAATGTCATGAGAAGATAGCTGTTATGGTAATACAGACTTTTAACTTTCTACTTATTCGAAGGAACAAAAATTAACAGCAGTTACTGCCCTTAAACTTAAAATTTAAAGTAAAAAGACTGTATATAGAATGGACGCCATCTGCCTCCTCGCTGGGTGAAGCCACCGCGAGAACAGCACCCTCTGGTGACGGGCTGCAGTATATTTCATAAATCCCGCCTCCTCCAGCAATCCTTGAGGAGTTGTGGAAAAACTTAAGAAATGAATTCCACAGAATATGAATTTTTGTCGAGTGGAGAAAATCCCAGAAATACCGAGAGCAATTTGGCTTCGGCAAATGCACACAATGACAGAAGGCGGAGCCAAGTTTTCCAAAGTTTATACAATCTATTGGGAGTACCAATCCACCTTCGGCCACTATTCAGCATCTGTCTTGGGAAATTACTGAATTATCAATAAGAGAAATCAATTAAAAGTGCGCTACTTTAGCTCTTTGATTCAATGTTCACTTAAGACATTTCAGCAAAGTTCGTCAATCGAAGCGAAAGTTATCACTCTCCTTTACCGTTAATGATGGGTATTTGTTTCAGCCTTGTTTTAATCAGCCTTTTGTTTTAGGATAAATGTTTCGAACCTGGAGCTTTCACATTCAGGCTTTTATAGAGTGAACCTCAAACTGTTTGTTTACTGTCATTTATCATCCTCCCTGTAATATCTAACCCGGGCCGAGCAGATATCTTTGGTATTCTGATGACGCAGAAACTTTCCTCCTCTCTGATATTTAAGACATCAATCTACCTCCACCTGCACACGGGGTTTAATCAAAGCAATAATTTCCACTAATGGACCAAAAGAGACCCAGCCATGGTCTGCAAGCCGTTCACTTTTTATTAATAATTCAGCAAAGCCGTCTGTTCTCTTATTTATTTATTTTAAGTCTTACAGATGCTGTTTTTTTTATTCTTTCTAAGCAGACATAACACCTTTTTATGGAGCCGACCATTTAATTCTTCCAGATCTCTTTTGTTACGACATAAAGATATAAAATATGAGATTATCTGTCAGATTTGTCTCAGTAAATACATAAGATCGACTGAGCCTGTGACTTGGTATCATCATGTGTGGAATTGTTGCGTTTGGCGCCCGCTTTGACTTTGTTTGCTCCTCTTTTTCAGGTACATCTGTTGCTACTATAACTGCCACTGATGCGGATGATCAAACGTACGGGAACAGTGCCAAGCTTGTATACAGCATCCTGCAGGGACAGCCGTACTTCTCTGTGGATTCTGAAAACGGTAAGCCGAACACAGCGGGATCTCTTGGATCCGGTTTTCTGTTTTAAGAGTTTCTGAGCCTTACAAAGACAGAAGTATCTGCTGAGCTTATTAAACCCAACCGTCTACTCGGATTTGCTAAAAATCTACAATTACAGGATTTAATTTCACTCAAATCTCCAATTTGTTTTTTCCAATATGGCAGAAAAAATTGATCTTTCAAATTTCGTTAAATAAAACATGAACATCTGGACCGATGTCGGGTTTAGAAGTAATGAGTTACCAAAACGGTCCACACCAGAGAAACAGAAGTGATGTCTTTGCCACAACAGAGCGCTAATGTGGAAATCTGTGAGCGAGCAACAGCTGCGGCAGCGTCCAATCAGAGACAGGGTTTCTACAGGTTCAAAGAACTCAAATCTAAGACTTTTTAAGACCATAATGAAAACAATTTAAGATCCATTTTACATCCATACTGGCAAAAAATGTCAAAAGGCATGAATTGAAATCCGAACATTTCAAACTGACTTTAAACCAATCTTGATTTGTAAGTAACATCAATACATTTTTAAGACCCATTACATTTAACAAGGTTTTAAGATAATTTAAGACATTTTAAGACCCAGCAGAAACCCTGCAGAGAGCTTCAAAAAACACGAACAAAAAAGTCAAGAGAAGCAAAATATCTGTCTACATCTATGTCGGCAGGGATCCTCCATATCAGGATGGATGCTGTATAACTGTTTGAGAGTGAATTATTTTGATGGTTTGATGAACATTTTAAAACCCTAATTTAAACTAAAAACAGCACAAAGATAACAAATCAAATGTTAAAACGGAGATATTCTGTTTTATAAAAAATCTGACTTTAGTAACGTGTTTCTAAAAAGTTTGGAGGAGGAATAATAATAGGCGAGGTAGAAAAAGGTCTTTCCAGAGAGGTGGAGTCTCTCAGCCAAGTAAAGATGGGAAGTGAGAGACTGCGTGAGCAAAGAGTTCAACAATGTCAATGTGGATTTTATCAGGTACAGTAAAGAAAATATCATTAAGAGGTTCAGAGGATCTTTTAAAAAATGTGAGAAAAGAGACTGAGCTGAGAATATGAATAACACTGCACAAAAACAGACGTGACTCTGTTGTGGAAATCACCGTATAGGCTCAGAATCACTCTGACTGGACACAGTTTTGAGCTGCAAACACAAACTGTGTCATAAAAAGAGGAAACTATATAAATGCACATGTCTTCTTTGGGCTCAAGCTTATTTACTGGACTGAGGTGGGACACTGGTTCAGCACAGAGGCTACGGTGCAGGTTGGACTGGTTATATAGAGTGAATTCCCAGTCCAGATAGTCTCTCTCTCTCTTTCATGGATTATCTTGTACATCAGAAGTGTCTGAAGTGTCAAAGTTTACCCAGAAAGTGGAGCTTCCACTCGGATCACTCGGATGTAAAAAGTTTGGAAGATTTCACATCATTGTGAAACTTCAGCGCGTAGATAGAGTCCCACTGCACTCCCTTGTTGACAAAGATCTGTATCAGACTCCAAGTTGCAGGGCCGGGTCTGTTTAAGAAATAACGCTTGTTATTCCTGGTATTTAAGTCTGCATGAGCGGAGGACAAACATTACAGGAACAAGAGAAGATACTGGATACGATAGAGTGATGATGTTATTAATTCTTGTGAGGGAAAATAAATGACGGCTCGACTTCAGAGTCAATAACAACAACCCTGACAGAAGGAGATTGAAAGATGGCCAGAGATAACCACGACCATCAATCTCAGAGATATTGAGTAAAATCAACAAATACGTGTGGAAGGTTAAGCAGATAAGAAGAGATCCGAGGATCATAGTGATGGACGACTTCAGCGGGTTTCAAACACCGCTTCAAATCTTCTCATTTGTCCTGTATTTTTGTAAAACCTTCATTTTGAAAGATCATCAGCCGACCACCAAGACGGACAAGACAGATCGCCTGTCTGTATGTTACTGATTTCCACGTAGATGAATATTAAAGATGCAGGTCCATAAGATAATGATGCTCCAGGTCAACATTAATATCAGCTCCTCTGACCTCCAGCTGTAGCAAACAAGACGTCCTTATGAATTGTGGCGCCTAAATTGCTCTTGGCGTGTTTCCTAAGATTCCATGTTTAGCATGCTAAGAAGTCATGGCGGCAGAATTCGAGCGAGCTCGGTGTCTCTCTGAACAGATGGATTGGATCTGTGTTTGTCCAAGTTTTTATTTATTTATCTTTATCATTTTAGTTCTGATGCTGTTGGTGAAAATATGTCAGTATGAGCAAAAACAAAAGGTAGAAAATAGTAATTTAAAAAATGGGTCGGTTTAAGTTTGATGCTGCCTGTTTTAATATACTCTTCAAGTTATTAATCGCTGTGTTTCACCCTGTTTTAAAAATCTGAACATCAAAGTTGAATTAACAAACTATGTGCTTCTTTTATGTAGCTGGTCTTGTTTACTTCCTTCCTGGTCAAATACCGGGTTAAAGCCCACTGTGCAAAATCTGGAGCATGCCCAGAACGCTCAACCCCAATATCTTGGTGTGAGAGACCGAGGAGCTTGATGTCAGCTGGACTTACATTGTAAAAATCCAGTTTCAGATCCAACAGTCCACTCACCCTCGGTTCATCCTGGTCTTTTGGGAAAATTCTTGCAGTGAAAATGAGGCTTTATCACACACACAACGAAAGCCTAACTCTGATCTTCATTTTTAACATTCCTACACATCTTATAACTTCTTTTTTTAGCTCATACTCAGCTGTGAAGCCACTTCTTCACTCTGCTGTTTTTATGTTGTGAGTCTAAAATCAGATTTCAGTAAATCCTGATATTTTGTGACCTTCTTTGCTGTCAAACGATAAAAAACTAGACCATCCATGTCAGTTTCATCCTCGTCTTTGCAGCACAGAGTGCATAGCTCAAGACTCAGCATACCAAGGGGCCGTTGCCTCCGCTCCATCTTCTTCCTGCTGCTTGAATGCGGCACACAAATGTAGCACATCTGACACTAGAAGAACGTTGCCAGGGAACATAATCCAGGCAGCAGCCACATTTCCCCTCAAAACATAATTGGCAAACCTAATTAGCTGTATATAAATGCAATTTTCTAGGAGCCTTGGTCGGGTAGGGATGGATGGAATTGATCTTAATCTGATCTCATTTACTGTCAAACAGCAAATCCATTCCACCAAAATGAAGTTTTCTTTTATAGGCAAAAGTGATGGAAAGAATTTCCGTCTCTCTTTTTTTTTTTCCAGGCACTATCAAGACAGCTCTTCCCGGCATGGACAGGGAAGTGAAGGAAAACTACCAGGTGGTGATCCAGGCTAAAGACATGGCCGGGCAGATGGGTGGACTTTCAGGAACTACGACGGTCAGCATTAGACTCTCAGATGTCAACGACAGTCCGCCTCGCTTTGCCAACCGTAAGAACTATTGAATATCTACATGTCTGCTTCACTGAATCGTAGGGGATTATATAAACCACAACCTAACTTTACATCATCACACTTATAACCCAGCTGTGTCTAAGTACTTGTCTGGAGGTGTGTTGAGATGTTTTGTTTGCACAGCTGAATGAATTCTTCTCCGGTTATGCCACTTGGTAGCACTACCATGGCAACACTATTCTTATCAGCATGACTACGGTTCAAACTAACATTGAACAAAGCATTAATATTCCCAGTAAAGCAGAAACCTCTCATTCTCTAAACAGCAAACCTCTATAAGACTCTCTTTTTCCTGAATTTTCCTGAGAGCATCGTTGGATTGATGATTCCACCTGTAACATCATTAGCTTTTACTCGCACTGAGACATCTATCAAATTGAAGAAATCAGACACACTGAAACCCAGTATGGGCTTGAGCAGTGTTACTGTCTCCATACACCAAACGCGAGTAAAATCATTCGCATGAATGCGTTACATGTTAAGTCAATGCAAAGAGGCGATTAGACGCTCCTACAACTCTGGCGCAAATTGGGCGAAGCTCAACTTGAGTGGATATGCATGTCGCGATAACTACTCAGCACGAAGGTTGCCGGGTGACGTACGAAAACGGACGGCTGTTCACTGTTCCCGAATAAAAAGGAGGAGGCAAGTGAGTGAGGAGGTCAGGTTACCTCGTAAATTTAAAAAAAACGTTGTCTATCACTTGATCCCGCCGGTTGAATTGGCAGGGATTACCATCGACGCACGAATGAAGCGAGTAAATACAATACATTCACGCGTTTAGATTCATGCAAATTAAGCGAGTAGATGATTTTACTCACGCTTGGTGTGAGCGCCCCATTAGAGGGTGAAATACCTGTGTTTTTTTCTAATTTATGATTTATTAAAAAAAATACAGGAATTTCGAACACTGAGTCCGATGCATTGGTTTTATGATTTGCAACTCAAAATAGTCCGGCACACACAATTAATCCGAGATGGTCGAGCTGAAAAACATGTCTGCAGATATTCACACAAGGTCACTGATTATCACTCACTGCCTGTACAGAAATAAAAACATAGAATCTGATATATAAATGTTTGAGCATTATATTTACTGGTATACTGTTGCCATGGTAGTGCAAATAAGAGATGCATTTATGCGTATTGACTGACCAATTCTGTGTAGATTCCTTTCGGGTGACCGCTGTGGAGTCCACAGAAATCGGAGGCGCCATTGGTCGGATCAAAGCCGACGATCCGGATGTTGACCGCAACGCTGAGATGGAGTACAGTATCGTCGGCGGTCACGACATTTTCAATATCATCACAGACCAAACCACACAGGAAGGAGTCATTATCATTAAAAAGGTAAAGGATCGTCAGTCCTCATTTACCCTTCTGTTTTGTTCTCAATGCCTTATTTTATTTCTACAACCGGATCTGACTCAGCCGCTGTTGGTTATGTAACCGTTACCTGATTGATAATGGCGGTGCAATCAGACAAAACAATCCTTGACGTGTTTTCACAAAGCTACACTGACTCTCAGACAGGCTGAGGGGTTTCAAGTTAAGCTCGCTGAATAAAACTGATTTTAATGACCGCATTGAGTTAAACCTTCGAGATTGATTCCCTCCATCTGTGTGAATCATGATTACACAACCCGAACGGAAATCACAATGTGTATTCAGCAAACAGTTGAGGAGAGTTTTCATTTATTTCTCTAAAAGTGCAGTTTAAGTCTTCAAAGTTCAAAGGTTTTACTCCGCTCTCTAAGTTTTATTGTAGCTTTTAATTAAACGTTTTATCTGAACTTAAAATGTAGGCTGGGGAAGCAGAAGAGTACAGTTTCAGATTAGAAGCAGCCCCCTGATAACGTTTATTCCAGTAATAAAGACATATGACAGGGTTTATTTTTGAGCTCCAGTGTCGAATCAGATACCCTAAGCCTGTGAAATGAATAATATAAAGCAGTCTTTTGCTCAAAAACTCTTTTTAGTTTTCCCCTAAGATCTCGGAGATCAGTATGCCTCACTTGGATTTGTAACTTTGAATTTAGAGTGTGGATGAGATAAAGGCAGACAAATGAAATGCAATGAATTGCCTATCAGAAATCCTAGAGGCGAACTGTTTTTCTTTTTTATATATATATATATATGGAAAAGTCTGCAGCTTGACTTCTGATGCTCTTTCATCTGCAGGGGCTGGATTACGAAAGCAAGCGGGACTATGAGTTCAGAGTGGAGGTGAGAAACACCTACTTAGATGCAAGGTTCATCCACGGTTTGCAATTCAAAGACTACGCCACGGTCAAAGTTACAGTGGAGGACGTGGACGAGCCCCCCGTTTTCACCAGGAACCCCTACGTCATCGAGGTGCACGAGGACACGGCTGCTGGCAGCTTCGTCGGTGTGGTGTCGGCCAGAGATCCGGACGCTGACAACAAGCCGGTCAAGTATGTGATAAGACACAGCGAGAGGAGTCTAGAGCTCAAACAGGGCCGGGCTGTCAGGACCAAATGTCCACTCACTATAAAAAGACAAAAACCTGAACACCCACTCCATAAATCTCAAAGCTCAGTGTTTATTTCTTCACTCTCCAGACTTTCACAGCAAGAGGTCTGGAGAAAAAGAGTATGAGATCAATCATTTCTTTTAGAGAATGATTAAAAAATATCAGGTTTTTGAAGAGGTCTACCTACATGAGTGGAATTTAAAAAAAGTATCCAGACAGTCTTCGTTTAATTGAAGAGATGTGATTTCTCTACAGATGAGACACTAATTCAGACTCGAACTCAAGTCACTTCTACCTTCTAAGGAACTTTATCTCGAGACGTATGCCTGTAATGTTACTTTTTAAATACTGTTTTTAATTAATTGGACATATTGTCATTAACTGATTCATCAGTGATTTTCAATCGGTGAACTGGTTTGGCTTTTTGACCCCTAGATAAGAGTAAGAAGCAAAGATGGGCACACTGAGTGATAAAAAATAACTATACTTCAAAATTTTTATGAACATTAACATCTTTTGCGCTGCGACCAAAAGGATCCCCCTGATCCAAGTGTGGTAGAAGACCCAATCCAAATACATGAAATACATTAATAATTACGAGTAACTTCAAATTAACAAAGGATGTATGTTCTCGCTTAATCAAGGTTTGGATCCTTGTTTCTCAGTATGTCTTAAGTGTTGCACCAAGTCTGAATTGCGCAAAAATGACGACATTCAACAAAACCGGATTACAAAGAAGTTGAAGGTTTCAGTCAGTACGCTTACAAGACACTCAAGAAAACCGAATTATCGCTTTACTCCGATTGAGACCAGACAACTGAAGTGCATGTAAACACCTTAGTCTGACTATACTCGGAGTTTGAGAACTCCAATTAAGGCACCCAGATAACAGAATTTGAATTTCTCTACCATGTATCCAGCGATGATATGATAGGCCAATGCAGGTGTGTGTGCACCACACCCCCATAACCCTGGAACAAAAACACCTGAGAAGAGGAGTAGCCTGCACCTCATCTGCAGACAAAGTAGCGCCTACATCATGTACGACCAAAACAACGCTGTACGATGCTCCATCTTCTTGTTCAAAAATGCCCGGCAGCAGTTGTAGACACTTCTGACGTTTGACATGCCCCTGCTGTTGTTGGTGTTGGGTCAACCAGCCGCAGGGACTGGTAAACTAGAGCTCAGATGAAGCAAAGAGCTTCAACTTTCTTCTCCAAATGTGTTCAATCTGAAGACTGAAGATCCAAAATGTCAAAATGCCACCCAGACATCCTGAGCTATGATTGGCTGATGTAGGATCCTCATTAAGATCAACTATTTGAATTGTGTTTGCAACACAGTTGTAGCTTAAAAGAAACATCATCTTTTGAACCCCTACATGAGCTCAAACTTAATGATATATTTGTTTCCAGGACCACATTTCTGGGGCTACAAAGGTAAGAAATGTGATTCTTACCCTAGCTTTAACTTTCCCACCAAAGCGTGGGTCCCAGAGTCGCAGTCCTAAAAGTGCAGCAGTTAAAAAAGTCTGGACGAGCCCCCACCAACAGGTGACACAGCATGTTTTGACCATCGCCTAAATGAGCTCGCTAGCCTTTTCTCCGAGAAAGCTCGGTTTCCAATTTGGAAACAGTCTTATCTGATGAGGATCCGAGGAGTAATTCTCACTATTTTGTATCGTTTGTGAATTTAATGTTCGAGAGGTTTTATCGTCGCAGTTCTTCTTTCTCTTTTTCTTCTTCGTTACCTCGCCTCAACTTTCCATTTTTTTGACAACACATCGATTCCCCGCGGAGAAGTAAGCACTCACGATTCAGCAAACTTAGAGAAGAATCAATGACTTATTAAGCAAAGATTTCCTCTCCAACCCAGGGGGTGTAATGCCTTATTGTGGCAATTTGATTGTTTTTAAAGTCATTGTTCCAGCTTTAATTAAACTCGTATAAAATCAATACAAAACAAGGAACACATGGTAGAAATACAAAGTCTCCTCTTATCAGTTTTTTTTCTTTAGCAGGAGGTTGAAAATGTGCCCACTTGGCTAAATCTAATCCATCAGCTTTGCCATGTGTCAGTGTGGAGGGGAGACAGGGTGGGAGGAAGGAAGGGGGGAGAAAAAGGATATTATTCATGCCTCCCTTTTGGTCATTTCCCCAGTGGAAGATGGTGGCAGACCTGTGAAGTGAATACAGACGCTGTTTATTTCCCTGCATTATGTAAGCCCTCTGTAGCACTGCACAAAGTCAAAGTGAAAGAGCCTAATTTGCTGTATTGATTCACACAGCTTAGTGCCGCCATCCTACACATATGGCGCCTGCTCGTCTCTGACACAGAGATATGCCACTCCCGGCGCGTGCCACATGGCGTATCGGGTTGCATATTCAAATTTCAGTGGAATATGAAAGTTGACTATGACAAATGAGCAGGCGTGAGGGAAGATACATCATCTTCTGACAACGGGGAAACCGATTCTTCTCTCTTTATGAAACTATCAGCGATGAAATGTATGAATCAGATTTACAGGGAGAAGTACTTTTGTGTTTGAGGATATAACGAACTTTACATTTAGGCACAACTACAGACGGGTTATAAGGTCTGCCTTTAACGCTTTGATTTTGGAGGTTTGCAACCATACTCGCTTCTTAAACTGAATGTGAATTGCTTCTATTTACTTCTGTTCTATCACTTCTAATTGATGATTGCTTTATCACTGTTTTTACTCTTTTTGGATGATAATTCCTAAAATGTTCACTGAGACAATAAAACCACGAGAAGTCATAAATTTCTTCATAGACGGTTAAAAACAGGACTGTTTCAGAACCAGGTGAGGGACTCCTTGCAGGTCTTAAGATAGAGTGTAATAAAAACGCAAATCCCGAAAACTGCAAGGCAGGTCTTTGACGGAGAGTCTGTTTTAATGTCACTGTGCAAAATTAAATTTCCGAGCGTCATGAAAAACAAAAACTAGAGTCCAGTATAAAGCTGCTGCAAGGAGCTTTAGGTCTGTGTCAGTTTTGGCACCCCCTGTGGACAAAGCAGGATCTGCTCATCCATCGTCCATGAGACAATTTCCCATCATTCATTGTGGGTGTATATGGTGGAAATTGTAAAACCAGGATAGGATATACGGAGAGAGAGCGCAATCAAAATGAATTTCTGAAAACTTTTAAAGACAAGGTAGTTTCTTTCAGGTTTAAACAGTGCCCCCTTCAGGTCATTACGAAGATGAAATCAAAACTCTAACTTGTCATGAGAAACCAGGAAGTGGGTCTGTATCAAAGTTGTAAACCCACTCAAAGAAAATACTATCTTTTTAGTCTTATGCAGACTATAGCTACGTTCACACTGCAGGTTATGATGCACAATTCAGATTTTTTGTTAAATCTGATATTTTTGTGTGGTCGTTCACATTACAACAACGAATGCGGAATGCATCCGTGAAGTGACCCGCATGCGCACAAAGCACAAATTGCTTTCCACGCCCGTTTGTGTCGTCGAACAATGGTGACGTTTGTCACATATTGATGACGTATAGGTTGGATGATGCAACCTGAGCGTCCACACTGCAGTCACATTGGATACATATCTGATTTATATCCACATACAAAAGAGGCCTGGGTCGGATTTGAAAAAATCTGAATTGCACTGTTCACAAAAAATGCTAGACAACATTAATATCGCTGCGAATGTCATAGTCCAGAAACAGGAATATAAGATCAGAAAGTTGAGCTTTTTTTATGTTTTTTTTTTCCTGCTGGTATTTACACTCTCCTTTCTGTGTGTCGTCTCTTTTCAGATACTCCATTGATCGGCACACGGATCTCGAGAGGCTGTTCAACATCGATTCTGTAAATGGCACCATCACAACACTGAAAGCGCTGGACAGAGAAATGTCCAAATGGCACAACATCTCTGTGGTTGCCACTGAAATAAGTGAGTTCTGTTGCTCCGTCTTCAATACATTTGCATTTAGTTGACCTTCTTTGACTTCTTGTGCTAAATTAGGAAGCGGTGGTGGTTCTTTCACTGGTTGAGGAATCAGTCATACTAGCTTGTTTTTAATCTCGTCATTCCAGATAACCCCCGTCAGACGACCCGAGTGCCTGTATTCATCAAGGTGTTGGACGTCAACGACAACGCCCCTGAGTTTGCCATGTCCTACGACACATTTGTTTGTGAGAATGTCAAAGCTGGACAGGTAATAAAATCTTAATCTTAAGATTGTTTTCTTGACTTGGTACCATTTTCTGTTTGTTTCAGACGAGTTTTCCAAAGCTGCCACACAGTAACACCTTATTTTCCACATCTCTACTGAGAGCGCAGCAGAAAAAAAGTTGCTCGATATCAACATTATGACAGAATCCTTGTGGTTAAACTTTTCTGTTTAGCGGGGCTACAAGATAAAGTAATTGGCTTGTCATTTTTAATGCTCACAAATTCATTCGCAAATGCATCTGCAAAGTGATGCTGCACACCATGCAAAACAAAGTTAAGAGCATTAATGTGCGATGAGCAGACTCACTCTGGCAGCTGACTTTGGCAACTTTCTGTCAAAGTGGGATTACAACCCCGAGAGGATCCATCACAATGAAATTGATATGTGTGCGCGGGGGGGACGTTGATCCAGCAGAATATATGAATACATATATGCATTTAACTGAAATAACCTTGAAGTGTGTAAAGCATGCAGTCGTTGTGGGGACGCGGTCTTTGGAAAGCGATTCCGGGGGAACATATTTTTCAGTGTTATTGGGCAAAGAGCCAAACAGGAGTTGGCAGTAAACAAGGAGGGAGCCGAGGGAGGAGTTTGACGCCGGTCACTTCCTGACATGTACAGGGGTAGGTGACCCACGATGCTCGTGAAGCATGCTGCATACTGATAGGTGTGTGTTTGGGGGAAAGCCTCTGGACTTTGAGGAGACAGTGAATCCCGTAATTAGAGTTGGGCGGTATGAACAAAATCTTACATCACAGTATGAGTAATTTCATATCCCAGTAACAGTATATATCACAGTATATTTTTCCCCCCCTGTAGATTCAGTTAATGTCTTAAAAATAACCATACTGTCACATTTGTTCTTTTTTTTTTTTTCATTTTTAAATTTGGGTTTGTAAACAAATGTAAACAAAATGTCAGACCAGTCTGGAATTGGACATATGGCGTACCTTTGGCGAAAGACTCTGCCAAGCTCTTTAGTTTTTGGTGCAGCAGGTGCGTCACGCGTCTTTTGGCGCTCATGATAGAGCTTGGCGTGTTTCATCTTTAGATGGTTTAAGAGGTTGTTGGTGTTTCGTCCTCCAGCAACGACAGCAACACGACACTCTTTATAAAGAATTGTTTTTTGATCGTTGTCGGATCGTCTAAATACCAAGAACTGATGTCGGGACTCGCGCTCTTTTTCAAATTCCTCCTTCTCTTCCTCCTCTTGGGTGGGTCGGGCTCCCTCCATTTGCTCAGTACCGCCACTAATCTCCGCGTCCGCCATGACCACCACCAGTGAAGCTGTTTCTTCCTCGTCGAAACTATGCCAAGCTGTCTGCTGGACACGCTGGTGATTATAGGGAGCGCACCCAAACCTGACCAATCAAACGGAGAAAACAAACTGCACGACACGCTGGTGAATATACAGTAACGCACCCAAATGGACGCGCTCTGGCTCTCCTGTTAGTTAGCACAGACATCTGCTCTCTCTCTGGTATAAATGATACAGCAAAATTTCTACCGTTAGACATTTTTACACCGTCACATATATACTGTCATACCGCCCAACACTACCCCTCACTAATTGTAGATTAATTTGAGTTTCTTCTCAGCGACGGGCGACTTTTGCTTGGAAAGTCAGCGAGCTATGACGCCTAAAACGTGGACGTTTTGACTGTATTCATCAATCTTCATGCATTCATGATAAGACACTTTCACAGCCGACTCTCTGTGAAGCCAAATGAAAAGCTGGAATGTGTTTTTCTGATCCTTTGCTCTGTTTTCTCGGCAGCTGATTCAGACAATAAGTGCTGTTGACACAGATGAACCCCTCCTTGGACACAAGTTTGTCTTTAGTATAAGTGCCACCAACCCGAACTTCACCATTGTTGACAGGGAAGGTAAGATAAGCCGATTTGCATTTTTATTGGAAAACCAAATGAAAGTGCTTGGCTGTGTACTTTAAAGTTAAACTTTAAAGTTGTACGTTGGGGAATGAGTGAAATGGGGTTTCTTATAATGAAAATCTTAAGGGCTGTCACTTCAAATACAGGCCAGAAAATCATAAATTGGAACCGATTATATAAAATATATTTGGCGTGGAAATACATTTCCATTGTGGGGTTGCCGTCTTTTGATTGACTTCTTGAAAAGCATTTTTATACCTCTGGAGGTGTTTGACAAAATTTCATTTTCTGAAGAGCCATTGTCAAAACACGGCTGTCAGGCACTCATCCCACAGCTATCCTGCATTGTAGAACAGATTTTGGTTTGTCTGTCACAGACAAAATATCCTTCAATGGAATAAAGAGTCTTTGAGGGAGAAAGGAGAAATGCTGTAGACGTTTAGCATACTGGCATTTAAGGAGCAGTCTGTAAGATTTTACCACATTTGGTTGAATAGACTTGGAAGAAGATGTAGATAGTTTGCACAAGTATTAGATGATGCAGAAGTCCTCTTGGCTCACTATTTAACGTCATCTTTGTGTTTCTACTGTAGTTTTTGCATGTTGTGAAGAGCTGGGTTTAATTAATCAGCTTTTAAAGTGATAAAGAAAGTGTTTTTTTGTTCACAAAATGTTGTATCAATGACGTTTTTGATGTCGATTCTGACTGAAGATGTTGTTAAATGTTCCTGTTTCTACTCCCTGTACCTTTAAAAGTCAAGCGTGTTGATATCTTCTCACTTACATGTCCTCCAGAATATCTGATTTAAGTTTAAAAATGATCTGGTACCTCTGCGGACAAAAATGAGGGTTTTTCTGGCGTTGGACACGCTCATCTCTTTAAAAAGAATCCTGTAAAATTCAGATCAAGTGTCTGGGGTCAGTCTCTCTCTCCTCCTGACCCTCTGATAAAATCAAACATGTTTAATTTGAGCGGAGGTTATTGGTCTTGTCCGGCACTTTGAGTGGAAGAAAATGAGAGCTGGTGCTCCCTGACTCATGAGTTGGTCTATTCTGTGGCTAGTATCAGTACATCAGTGGTATTACATTATAAATATCTACATTTAATGAGATACCGGAAGATATTGCAGATATTAATAACATAGATTTATTAAAAACTACCTCAGTGGGTTACATAAACAAACCCCCGCTGCTTCTCCTGCTTTCATCCTGATCCAACACTCGAGCGAGTTGGGAGTTCATATTTGATGATTATGGACATATATTCAGCACATAGACATGCCTGTGGGAAGATGCATGTGTTACTCAGTACACCATGAGTAACACTATAGTACTGCGACTCATAAATATCAACTGGAACTGCATGGAGAGGACAGGAAAGGTGGGAAGTAGTCCCAGTTTGGTGAAAGAGTCTCAAAACGCCAAGTCTTGGACACCTGAAGACAAGCTTTCCATGAAGTTCTGATCTGTGAGAACTCGTATTTCAGCTCTTTTCAGTCTCTGCGTGAGGCGAACTTCTGTGGCTGCTTTTCCAGTGAGATACAGCTTCAGGGTGTTACTTTTTACACAGCTGTGTCGTCATGAAATGACCCGAAAGTTACACCTCTTGCACAGAACACCTGTGATACGTCGTTAATGCCCATGTTTACTCCTATCACATGTTAGATGGTGTTACATTAGCAGCTGTCGTCTTGGAAACATCTAAATAGGGCTGGGCGATATGGCCTCAAATCAATATCACGATACATTGATCAGTTCACCTTGATAACGCTAAATGGACGATAACTACTCCACAAGCTGCTCACCCCCTCCCACGTTAACTTTGTCTACTTCAGCCGCTACAACTTTCGAACCGTCCTCCATCTCCTCTCCTGTCTTTCCCTCCTTGTTACGGACTGGATGGGGTGGAGTCACGCCTCTGATGTATGACCCAAAACCAACCTTTATTTGTTTATTTTGACACCTAATATACTGATATGGGCAAAATGACGTTAGTTATTAAATTTAAGTATCTGTCAATTTTTGGTTTATCACCCAGCCCTACATCAAAATGTTCCAGGGATTTTCTCGTACCTTCTTCTTTTAGACAAAAAAAAAAAAAACAGTTGTGACTTTCCATCAGAACCAAAAAAATGAAAGATTGGCAGCTTCTCAAGACAAAGTAGTCTTCTCTAAAGGTGGCGTACTGGAGCGCACCAGCCCTCTTAAAACATCGGTCCAAGCCTTTGCAGATAGTGACGATCCAGGACATGAACGCCACATGCTCTCATTAAATGTAATATGAAAATCAAAGACATAATAAAGAGGAAAAGCTCTCTAGTAAAATGCAAGCCTGAAATGCTGGCCAAGATTAGCCAAACCACCGCACATTCATAGACAAAATACGCTTCAATTTTTGTCAAATTGTGTCTGATTTTCAAAAACTTCTACCAAGAGCAAGATTGGAAAATAGTTATCTTGTGAATCATGTCAGCTCAAAATCACCGGTCTTTGCAGAAGCGTCTTGTAATACGCGAAAATGTCAAACGCTTCGTTTTCCAAAGTCTCGTGCAGCGTGCGTGCAGATCTTCAGCCAAAGTCACAATGTACAGCACTGCAGCACAGACTCTGAAGGGGACACTGGGAAGTCAACTCTTAATGGAATTTCAACAAACAAATTTTGGACTTTAATTAGTTTTGCGAGAGAGCGTGGCCGTGCATAACCACCAGGCCTGTGTTCTTTTAGAGGGAAAACGACTATATGATTACTAATGAAGCCGTGTTTGAGTTTGATGTTAAAGACCTGAACAGCAGAGGTGGTTGTTAGCAAACTTTAGTCTTTTAGTACTAATTAAACACCTTCACTGAGGACTTTTGAAAGACCTTGTCGAGTTAAGGGTTTTACCAGCTGTCAGTCAGAAGATTGAGATTTAAAGGAGATCGCTGACACGTTTTTCCCCGTCTCCGTCTCTCCACAGATAACACGGCCAATATCCTGACACGGAGGGGGGGTTTCAGCCGGCGCGAGATGAGCATGTACTTCCTGCCTGTAGTGATCTCAGACAATGACTACCCCATCCAGAGCAGCACCAGCACGCTGATCATCCGCGTGTGTGCCTGTGACAGCCGTGGAAACATGCAGTCCTGCAACCCCGAGGTCCTGCCCTTTTCAGATGGTCTCACAACCGGAGCTCTGGTGGCCATACTGCTCTGTGTCATTATCCTCCTCAGTAAGTCCTCTCTCTCTCTCTCCTGCATGAGCTCGTGTACGTGTGTGCATGAGTGTGTTACAAGGATTTTTCGGCTTGTTCTCTACGATCCTAATTTCACCTGAAAAGCGAGGTCAATTTTTTAACGTAGCTCACGATCAGAAACCACAAGCCGCCTTCAAAGTGTTTCTATATCTGTGAAGTAAGGTTGATACATAACGCACAAAACATGTAACATTAGCAGTCCAGTCAGGTCTTGCTTTTATAAACTCCCCGCCGCAGACATTTCAGGCTGCTGAAGTCAATAACGTGGCCCAGAGTGAGTTGTTTTGCTCAAGTATGTGCTGCTGAGAGCACACAAAACTAGTGAATATCTCTGATATAACAAGGTCCATCATCACAAACAGGGCACTGAGTGAAACCTTGGAGTCCCATCTCAGTGCAATCAATAAGATGTTTCTGAAAATGTGCAATTCAGCCAGCAGTGCCTACTCCAGCGAGCGAGCAGAGGTCTGGCATTGGTCTGTATTAAATCCATCAGTGTGACGTTAATTGTTAACAGAGAAATATGTTTTCTTTAAATGGTGCTATCTTGTAGAAAAAAAAAATTACATTTTGATGATAAAGGCCACTTCACAGAGTCGTGCTCTGCAATTATGTGATAAAACAGCATCAAACTGAAGTGCTGTTTGCCTTGAAATAATGTCGAAATGGGGTGATAACAGAAAATGTATTTTTTATATATTTTATAAGTGATGAAAATGACAAATGGTTGGATCTATTGTGACGAGTAAAAATGAGTTATAGAAGCGTTTTAACTTTGTGGTTAAGATCAGAAAAACATGTAGAGAAAGGCACGATGGCGAAGAAGACTTCAGTACAACTGTCGTCAAGATCATGTAAATTACAATTTAGATTAAAGTCTGATTTTATACGTTGAAATGTCATTGCAGGAAGTAGGACTGTCCCGATGCAATTTTTTTACTTCCACTATTGTAGCCTTCAGTATTTATCCAATATTGGCCAAAACTTGTGCATGACAAGTTTTTCACTTACTGCCACGTCTTTTTCGGACTTTAACAAAAAAATATTGCCACATGGCCGATATCACTCCTACTCCTTGCTACTTTGTTCGTACCAAAGTACACACTGTTGTTGTGATCACATGGGCGCCACATGGTGGAGCTGGAGTGGAGTCTGGAATGGACTGCTTGTATCAGAGATTTTAGATGCAGGCCGATATAATCCGATTTTTGTTTTTTGGCTGAAACCTGTCTCAACCGTTTACAGCTTGTTCAAAATGCCGCAGCTCGTGTTTTATCTAGTCGCCGTAAATATGACCACATTTCCCTAATTTGAGCCTCTCTTCACTGACTTTGTGTGTGTTTTAGGATTGATTTTAAAATTTTATTAACTTGTAAATCTTTAAACGGTCTTGCTTCTTTTTATCTCTCTGACCTTTTTAAACCCTATATTTCATCTGGGACTCTCAGATCCTCTGACTAGCGCCTTCTGACTGTCCCTAGGTCAAGGTTAAAGTTCAGGGCTTTTTCCGTTGCTGCACCTAAACTCTGGACGCTCTTCCCCTTCATCTCTGACTGTCCCCCTCACTGCCTGTTTTTAAATCAAAGTTGAAAACGCACTTTTACTCCCTGGCTTTTAACTCCTGAGAACTTGGCCTTTTAATCCTGTTTTTACTGAACCATCTCTGTCCCCCTGTTTTTAATGTGTTCCTTTATCTTTGTTTTATTGTTCATGTTAATTGTCTTATTCTTTTTATTTTGTTTTTAATTTGACTGTACAGCACTCTGGTCAGCTCTTTGTTGTTTTTAAATGTGCTTTATAAATAAACCTGAATTGGATTGAATTGGATATCAGACCGATACCCGATATCAATATCTTATCAGGACACCCCTGATAAGATTTATCTCAGAATTGTTGCATACTGTATTTAAACAGTTTGGACATGCAGCTCCTTGGCTTTGCAAGAAAAAATAAACTCCTCATATCGCATAATTCGCACTACTCTGATGTAGTGATAGAGCTTTAATACATCTAATAAAATAAAGATTACAAAGTACATTTAATTAAATCAATTTGATTTCCAAATTAAGACCGTAATAAGATTTATCTTGTGATGCTAATATTGACAGTATTTGATTAAAGCTCCTCTGAAGGTTTTTCAACTTTAATGAAATAGACTGAAACTCAATTTAATATATTTTAATAATGGTAGACAGGAGCAACAGCAACATGACAGATGATTATCATACAGTAAATTTTTAAGCCTGAAACATCCCTGCTTCTGGAATTTACTCATAAAAACAGCAAAATAAACAAACAACATATTTAACAGTGAGACTTCTTGTCAAGAGCAGAATAAACAAACCAAAAGTTCCTTATTGGAGCTTTAAATATGTGATTAAAAAAGAAAATCCGACACGTTAAGATTAAACTCGTCGTGTTGGGTTGCCAAATCTAAAATACCGAATAAACTTTTCCAGCAGAGTTTACACAACCCGTGCAAAGAGTTCAATTAGGTTTACTTTTATTTTGTAAGTGATCACTGGTAATTAAATCAGGCCAGTTGATTTGCATGCACTGTTAATTACATTTCTCCCTCCGAAAATTTTACAGACCGGGGTTTTAAACTCGGCTCATTAGCAGATTTATCCACTCATGGAAACACTCGGTGTGTTTCAAAGGTAAAGTAGGTCGCGCGTTACTTTCCTGACACTCTGAAGCACCACTTTAGCCCTCCTCCTGATCTAATGTAACAGCGTACACGCCACAACAGCAACAGCGCCGATCACTTTACTCCAGGAAAAAAAAAGCAGAAATGTGCCGCGCTCATGGTCAAAAGTGCATCAATAAGTAATGGGCTTCAACTGCCATTGAACCTCACCTTGCTTGGCCAAGCGTAGTGACGAGCATCATGGCTCAGCAGACACTGTGAATGTCGAATGAGGGGAAACGCCATTAAAATATTTAACAAAATGGTCCTCGGGAAACTGTGCATGCACCCGTGAGTGTGTGTGTGTGTGCCGTCTGCTATACCGACCTCTTAGTGTTTCACCGCGCCGGGTAGGAACTCACTTACAGTCACGAACTCTAGTTTTGAAGTTTGGTTCCTATTTGATCCGCCCTGACTAACCTTGTGATACAAGCGCATTAGTATTGATCAGCCTCCTTCCATCTGCTTGTTTTGACTCCAATTTTGAAATCTGCGTCTGATGTTGGGCAGATCCCTCCCTCACGTATCGGGTGCACTGAAGGTTAAACACCGAGCTCTCCTCTTGAGCAAAATATCATGACATCTGCTCATTATCCGTCGCTTTTTCGCGCTTGAACCCCCCCCCCCCCCCCCCCCTCGGCAGACTGTCTCATTCACCTCCGCTTGACTCCGACAGGCAGCCGCTGAGCTGGATCACTTTTCCCCTATCTGGGGCTCTTCATCGCAGCCGTCCGCGCTGTCTAAAATCACGGCACCGGTCAGTTGCAAATGTCTATAATGAACGTTATAAACAGACACTCACACCCTCCATCGAAGCCGCGTTGAAGGTATTGTAATTAACACCCAGGTGGGGGCAAGTAGACAACTATAGGACCTGCTGGCAGGACAAAAAAGGAAAGGAGGGGAAGGAGAGGAGAGGAGTGCAGGTGAGGCGGGAATTTAACTCGAATGAAACGGGCTGTTGCTTCTCTGTCTTTTAGGATGTTTTTTTACACCTAAAAGTCCTGATCAGGTCCGTGTTTTTGTCAAGTTGTCTACATTTGGTTTGGTCTGTAAAGGTTTGACACCATGATGATCCTACGTGATATCGTCATCAACTACGTCCTCAGTGTGTCTCTGTAGTTTACATCGATCGGTCGTTTGGCCGGTGGAGATCTGACGTCAACACGTTAAATTACACGAGTCTTGAAATCGTCATATTATTGTTGATTTTAAACTACCAACAGCAACAACTTGATAAGCTGGACATGAGGCTGGCCCAAGTTCGATCTATCAAGTGACGATAACGTGATTGAAGTCGACAGGAAAGGAGAAGAAAGTATGTAATAATGCGAGTCACTGCTACACCTTCACCACAAAACTATTAAAAATATAAACTATCAATCGTAAGGTTTAACTTTATCGCCAATATTATAATTTCCCATTCTCCATTCAACATATTGGACAATTTTACCCCTTGTATCATTTCCTGTTTTTGGTATGAAACTTTGACTTTGAACCTTTCCAACAGCTTTCACACTGGGCATGAACCAGACCGTGGTTTAGTTTGGTCTGAACTGAGACTCCCTCATTTGGTCGGATCAACGTCCACTGGAGTTTTTCCACCAATCATTTTGGTTTGGACCAAACAACGTAGGTGAGAAAGCCCTCTAAAATAATCACTTCAATCTGCAAGAGTTATCAAACTATATCAAAGTCTTATGAGACCAACCATCTATGGCATTGTTTAAGGTTTCTATTAATCAAACTTCCTCTTGAGACCTCAAGCTTGGACCTTCATTATGTGCCTCACTGTAGCTCCTCGGCTGTTTAAGCACAGCTTTGTTGTTGTTTGCAGGGAAAACATTTGTGGACCCAAGCCCTGAGGATGGACTGTGACTGTCTTTTGGTTTGTAAAAACCGGGTTCCCACAGTTGGTGATTTTACCAACAGCTGTCTCGCATTGGCGAGGCGAGTTCAGCTCTGCAAACGTGTAAAACAGAGCTATGAATTAGGAATGTGCCACCCTTGTGAGGGTACAAAATGAGAGGTCTCCCCAGGCAGAAAGTGTAGTTTAGTGTCAGCTGGAGTAGATCAGAGCGGATAGAAAAGAAAGAACAGAGACCAGCGTCTGTTGTGTGCCCTACAGTCTTGACTCGACCGGTGACGATCTACTGGAAACTGCAGCTTTTGAATGTTATGCTTATGAGATAGGAGAGAAGGTGATGGACGAGCAAATCAATATGGGTCTAGGGATGGAGATTGAGGTGGAGAAACAATTGAAAATGCTCATGTACGCATGCCAGACCAGTAGGTGGCGATGATGCCAAATCAGACTTAAGATCAGGTGCATATTGAATATTTTCTTGAGTCGGTTGTGACTGATTTTGGTGTCCCAATGAACACAGACTCTCCATGTTCATATAGTTAAGAAGACAAAACAGTTAAAACGTCAGAATAACAAAGAAAAATAGATTCAAATATATCATATGAAACTTAAATCATTATTAGAATTAGAGCCCAAACCATAACAGCGATAAAAATATGTAAATGGTTTGGTCTACTGCAAGTAAACCCCGTTGGAAATTAATGCTAAGTTCAAACATTTCATTGACAGAAGCACAGCAGTCAGCGTTTTCTGACTCAGCATTCAGGGACCATGTTGGGATGAATATTTCAGATGATGACTTTTCAAACACACACTCAGAGGCTGTGCTATGCTGACCCGTACTTCACCATTACTGTGCAGATGAGGGTCAAAATGTTACCATGACCGCCCACGAGCCTCAAGAAAAGGTCTAAACAGCGAAATGAGCTCGTTCTGATCTAAAGGGTTTACGAGAACACGCTGATATGGATGCATACAGCGACTCTAAACCTTGACATTTCTACTATTTCAAGCAGAATTTTCTACAGGCTTTAGAAAACTTGTTACGACACAGTGCCACTCTCTGGAAACTTGCCCACTCTGCAGTCTTTCATTTTCTCCTGCTGAAGGGGGGTGAGGTATGAGGATCCCCTCACCTCCGTGTGTTTCATACAGTGAGGAGAGAGAAAGCTTTTTCACTGAATCTTTAATAATAGGAGGAGAACGCCTGCGGCAGTATCGGGGATTTATCATTGGTAGCAAATGTGTCTCCCCTCTGCGCTTTCACTCCCCTGTGCTCTTTAATGCGTGACACATGTTAGGAGGCACACGTCTTACGCTGAGCTTTCTCTCTGTGTGTTTCCTGCTGTTTTTTTTGTGTAGTGATCGTGGTGCTGTTTGCTGCCCTGAGGAGACAGAGGAAGAAGGAGCCTCTGATCATCTCCAAAGAGGATGTCAGAGACAACGTCGTCAGCTACAACGATGAAGGCGGCGGAGAGGAGGACACGCAGGCCTTTGATATCGGCACGCTGCGAAACCCGGAGGTGATGGACGCTAACAAGCTACGGAGGGACATCATACCCGAAATGCTGTTTCCCTTTCGGAGGACATCACCTATTAAGGATAACACGGACGTCAGAGACTTCATTAACGGAAGGCTTCAGGAGAACGATTCAGACCCCACAGCGCCCCCCTATGACTCCCTGGCCACGTACGCTTATGAGGGCAGCGGGTCTCTGGCAGAATCGCTCAGCTCTCTGGAGTCTGCCGCCACTGAGGGCGACCATGACTACGATTACCTCAGCAACTGGGGACCACAGTTCAAGAAGCTGGCGGAGATGTACATAGGGAAAAGCCCGGACAGAGAGACCTAGCTAGAGCCATGAGTCTCCTTTTTCAAACCCATTTTTTCTGTCTGTTTTTCTCGCTAGCTAGCTAGCCAGACAGCTATGTGTCTAGTTAGTTAGCTAGCCAGCTAGTTAACTGTCTGTCTACCTATCTATCAAGCTATCTATCTGTTTATCTGTCTAGTTTGCTAGCTAGCTCGCTAGTTAACTAGTGGTCTATTTGATTCACAAACACAAATTCCTGCAATCCCGCCGTGGACGCCGAATTAAACGGAAATTAAGACTTGAACTGAATTCTCCCGTTGAAGGAGACGCAGTATGATTCTCAAAGTTTCACCGTTTTTTGGTCATAATCAGTAAAGATGCCTTTGAATTTTAGGATTTTTTGTGAACAATGGTGTGGACAATGTGTTTTGTAATGAGCGATAGTAGTATTGTATACTATCAATGTTTAATGGCTCTGGAGTGGGTCGGGGTGGGGGTGTCGGGACGGAGTCGAGTGGTTTTTGCAGCCACCTCCATTGATAACTGTAAATGTACAGAGTGTTTTTAATGATGGACATCCTATATACTATTTGCTATCTTTGTTCGACAAGCAATGTTCATGTGAGTGGTTGGTGCAGTTTATTTGTCAAACTGTGAATTCATTTCATCATATAGGTGTAAAATGTACTGGAAAGTGTATGTTGTAGGCAAAACTGTCATACACTGATTTCATGCTGTTTGAATGCTGAGTCATATTGTTTTATATTTATATTTTTATACTTATTTTCTTAATAAAATGCCGTGAAAAAGAAGAAGACATTTCTCTCTCACTGATCTGTGAAAGATCTCTAATATACTGAATACAAAACATAAACCTAATGTGTGAAACCCCCTCCAAAAACAATGCAAATATGGTTTATTAAATCATTTATACAGATGTCTGAGCAATAAAACAGACATTTAAAGTTAATGAAAACAATGCATTTGGAATATCAGGTTGGTGTTGATGGTTGAGATTTCATAGCAGCTGTTTTGGGGGAAAGTGTAAGACAGATTGTTGACCGCACATTAAAAAAATGGCTAGTTTCGCAAAAGAACAAAAAAGAAAAAAAAAAACAAGCGGACAAGAGGAGAAGATCTGTATTTGGTTAGATAAATATCTTTGTCCACATAAGGTGCCAAAATGGTCCCACACAAAAAGTCCCTTGTGTCTACCCGAGGTGGGCTTACTTCAAAGTCAAAATTTAAGACATTATTTGGCTTTAATAACAATTAATCTGTCGGTTCTATCCAACAGTAACGTTAAAAGCAGCTCAAAGTCTAGAGGTCCACCTCCTTATTTCAACATAAAGTATCCCTACAATCCAAGTCCAGTTCATGATTCAATCTAAACACATCATCCATTAATATCCATTAGACCCATCTATCTCACAACGTAAGAAACGAGTTTGGATTCTACCTCTTTCTCAGTGAGAGAAATGAATTATGGGTAAACCCAGCATGCCTTCAGTGTTGATCCAAATCCATGCAGTGTGATGTAAACGTCGGCGTTATAGGTGACTGTTTCAAGTTGTTTGTGATCCGTCTTACCACGTAAGATCCTCCTCATTTCTCTGGTGAACAAAGTATGTGTTGCACCAAATAAAGGTCATGTAATGATAAAATGTCAATGTCATTGACAACCAATTGAAAGGGGAATAATGGGAGTTTAAGGATAAATATTTTTAAAGCTCTCACATTTAAAGCTGCTCTTAAAATAAGAAACACGAATAAGTAACAAGTACAAACGTGCAGAGAAACAAAGCAGAACTTTCTCTCTGTTCTACTCTATAGCTGAGTGTCCTCGTCTGACACCTGGAGATATTCTTCTTGAAACTCTGCCATCTCGTTAGCTAAACTGTTTATTTATTGATTTCAATGAGCTGTCTTAACTACCACGTTGTTGCAGTGGATGAAAAATGTGAAATTACCACCTCAGTCTGTTTGCTGGGCCGTGGCTAAACGCTGGAAATATTCCACCTTTCCATTTGCACGTTGAGATAAAAACAGAGTTTGGAGGGTGTTGTTAAGAAATAAAAAAAATAATAAAATAAAAATAAGAGAAAAGAAATGAAAATACTTTGGCTGAGCTCGTTCACAGTATGATACCTCTGAATGTCAGATTGCAGCACATTGTTTGTTTCCTTAAAAAACATCCTGAGATTGTGCCAGACTATAAATCTTGACCTGTTTTGAAGGTGATGTGCGTGATATGGCGTGATTGTCTTATACTGACTTTGCAGGGAATTATTAATCTTGTCTAACATTTCTAACATCATTTAAAGCCAAACAGAGATCATATTTCCTCAAGGTATTTAATATTTTATAAGGCGTCCACTTGAAATTAAACTACCTACTGTAGTTTGACATGTATTTAAGTCGCACAACAATGATAAAATCTCTCCTAATTGTTAAAGGAAAGCTTCCAACAATTTCAGGATAAGTCAATCCTTTCAAATTAAAGTACACAGACTCCCTGTTGCTAATTAGTCTCGTATCAAACCCCGCAGCTCTTTTCTGATTATTGGGCAGCTGTAGAGATGAAAATACTCTGAATCAATCCTCGCCTCACGTCGCTTCACTTAGTTTCAGATCTGAACAGCTGCCAGCTCACTGTTGCAGGTCTGCACATGGAGCTCCTGTCCTCCTTTCTGATGTATGGCTCCTGAAATACTTTCCAAATGTGCCAAAACCCGAATGGTGATTCTCGCCAAATTAAATTGCTCTCCTGTTGTTTACTGCGTCTGCATCTGATTAGTTTGCTGTCTTTTAATCTGTCAGATGCATGCAGATTTATGAGGACGAGCAGAAAAGTCTGAAATTTCAGCAGTGACATGTTGAACCTTCTGCAGTAAAAGTCCGTCTGGACCAAAAGCTGTCAAAACCTCTGTCCAAACGCACACAAAGACACCTGAATTATTAAATCAATATTCATTTCTGTGATGTTGAATGAACAGCCATAAAAACCAAAGCACACTCCAAAAAAAAACTGTTATAACTTCATCGATTTTAGGTGGCCTTATCGCCACTTTCTGGACTGAATGTAGCTCGAAAAATATAAACAAAAACAAACAAAGAAAGTCATCTGCGTGAGTGAATTACATGTGAAGTCCACGTAGACAGTACTAGGACCAAGAAACATTAGGAGCTAAGCAAAGGCCCCCACTCCACCCAACAACAGGAAAAATAAGTCAAAGGAACAAAATCTTAAGACCAGTATTGGGATTTCATGCAGGTGGATCGTTACTAGGTTGTAATTAGAGCTTTAAAATGCAAAAAGAAGACAGGCCTGATCTAAATCCTGCTGGGAATCTTCGGGGATGGATGGCAAGGAGAGTCAGCAAAAATGGCCTCTTGGAGAAACTTGGATTTTGAAGAAAGCAACAAGAACGGTAAGATTTGAACTTTTGATCGGTTTGTGAACAGCCTGTCTGAGTTGAAATGCAGTTTTCAATAAATCGTCTACTCTTTTTGTTTTTTACTTGTTCCTGTTTCTTCTTTTTGCGTTTTGAAGCTCTACTAAAAACCTTGTTACGATCTACCAGCTCAAAATCCAAATACTTGTCACTTTTCCCCTGCTTTCTACTTTATAGATGAACAGGGACAGCAGAGCAGCATCGTACCGATAGAGGAGTCTGAACTTGATTAAGGTAAGGAATCCAGACCAATTTCTAAATTAGTAAATTAAAAACTAAAAAGACTAAAGACTAAAACGACTAAACTTGACTGAAATGTTTGGATTTCTTTGTTGACTAAGGCTACGAATGGCAAAAATGACTAAAAGCCAATCTAGACCAAAGATTTGGACAAAGACTTTATTTAATATAGCTGCTGAAGTGACCACAACTGGGCAGGAAGTTGTCAAATCTGGTGATCTTGTGATGCTTGATTGGTGTCGATATACGAGTCGGTGGTTTTATAGACGATGTTTTTTTTAAATGACAAATCACAGATCTCACTGATCCAATCCTCTTTGTCTGTGTTTGTTTCTTCTGCTTTGTCCATTCTTCATTTTAAGCAGTCAAGTCACCAACATTCACCTTAAAAAGCCTCGATCGATACCTGTCTGACTGAAAGATTTTTAATTCTGTTTTGGAGGGGTGATTTGTATTCAATGGAGCAAATGCGTAAAGAAAGAAAAATAATAAAACTTGGATTTTTTTTCTTCTTTCTCAAAGTGAGAGCCAGAGGAGACAAAAACATGGACTCCCTGTCCTGTCCATGCTGCGGTACGTCCACATGTTTCCCTGTCACACTGTCACTTCATATCGACTATCCCGCTGACTCAACAGCGAACACCTGCGTAACATCGGAGAGAAAACTGTCCTCCACTTATTGATTGTTTTCAGCTTCACAAACTCATGAAATTTATGTCACCAAAATGATCTAAACCTCTTATTATCTCATTAGATAAAAGCTTCATTTTTAATTATGTGTACACAGAGAGTTTTTGTTGTGTAAACAAATCTAGAAATGATTAGAAACGGTTATTTTTGCAAAACTTGGACTGCAAATAAGCCTCAGTTCTTCTCAAAGTTAGATATGTGCATAAAATAACGCACATGCATTGAAACAGTCCTGCAGTATATTTCAGAAATATGTGCTGGAGTCATGAAAGATAAAAGTGCAGTATTATTAAGAATGTAGAACCACAGTGAAATCATCTCACTCGTCATACAATAATTCTGTTTTCAGTCCAGCGGGATGAATCAAAGACAACGCTCCAAGTTTGACCCGCTGTGCCGGGACGCCTCGGCCCCACTGAGAAGTGATTATTATTCCACCGCTTCATTAATGGCGCATCCTCCTCTTATGTTTCATGTCTTGCCACTAATTTGACCGTAGTGACCTGTGCTGAGCGCGGAGAACATAGAAAAGTTTCTTTTTTTCCCCTCTCTCCGGGGTTTCTGCTGGCTTTCCAGGCAGGAAGAGCCGGTTTCTGCGCTGGCTGGTCTTACATGTGACTGCATGATTAGAGCTCAAGTAGAACATATCCTGTTTGATGTCAGGGAGACATTTGCATGCCACATGGAATAATACATGACAGATAACTCCTAATGCTCAAATAACTCGGGGATACTGCTGCTTAATTAGTTTAAGTGAGGTCCCTCAAAAAAGACAAGACTCGCTGATTTTCCTCTTTGATGGACATGGCGCAGGATTCTCCCGCTAACTGCTGCACCGAACGGACATTTTCATTGATTTATTGGCTGTTTGTAACGACTCCAGCTAGTTTTGTTTCATCCTGGATTTGCCATGTCTAGAGAGGACGCCACTTTGGATGTGATGTGACGTTTACGGTGTAAACAAATCCAGGTTTTGAATGATGGGACTGCACCCCTAATATTCGTAGGTGCTGTTATTTGTAGTTGAGGTGCGAGAAAGTAGCAGAGAGTAAATTGCAAAGAGCCGAAGTCTGACTTACAGCTCCTGTGAGGAACCCTTAGCTGTATGCAGATGCCTTTTTATGAGTTACAGAAGCAAACAACAAAGTTCATGTGCTGGAGGCTGTGAAGGGGGGCAGGTTTCAGACCACATAATCAAAGGGGTGGGAGAAAACAATCAAAACAGCATAATATCGTGATATTTTGTCTGGTGATATATCGTATCTTCTCATTTACCAAGTATCGATTTTCAAATTAATTGCTAATATGAGGTCAAATCTACGATGATGGAAAAATAGAAAAATGAGCTAAACAGTTGAAAAAAAAAGTATTAATCACGATATATGGTATCACGATACTTACTGTATTAAAAAAAAAAATGTTAAAAACTGCAATA